CTATTTTTCATGATAAATTTTTTTCATAGTTATATCGTATAATTAAATTTTCATAGATTACGTAAATTACAAAAATTTTCATATTTTTTATAATATCGAAAAAATATCCTCCGAATTCTATTGCATCTTAAAATAAAGAAATTCCCAATCTCTTATTTTTTGAAGATCTCAAGAAGAAAATTCTTCTTTATTTCTTTCTATTTATTCATGTTGCATAATTATCTCAAATTATTCCCCTTCCCACGATTATGAATTCCCATTGCAAAACGTTTTTCGAATAAGAAGATGAATAAAAATCGATATAAGTAAGATAACGTATTTGCATATCTAAATAGAAGAAAGAGAGAGAAAGATAGAAGAAAAAAGGAAAAATATATATATATATAAATAATTCGATTATTCATATCTAAATTGATTTAGAATAATCGAAAAATTCCAAGAAATCAGAATTATTCAAAATAGAAATATCTTGCACCTATAATATGAAAACCACTAGAGTTTAATTCATATATAAAGAACCTAAGAAATGTCATTTACCTATATTATGAAGATGCGTAGAATTGATATCATACATAGAGAGTTGATTACTCCTGAAATTTTTGAATTTCTAATTAGGGTTGCGCCTGTTCGAAGAATTTGGATAGATTTTATTAGGTAACGATATCTTCTATTTGCTTCAAAGAGATATAGTCAATCAGATTCATATTGCTATTGCAATTGCCCCTCTTCCCCTCGCACCTGCTGGCAAAGTGATGCGAGCTGGCAGCCTTCTGTTGTGGGTTCATGCGCACTCTCAAGCCATCTTTGGGCTTGTGGGCACATGCCCAGACCCAAACTGCCACATGCTGCCAGAGTCCGTCGTTTGGGGTGGACCGGCCTCCGCTAGCAGGACCTTTTGCAGGCCGAAGCCCGTAAAGTATTAAGTAGTTGCATTAACCATGAGATGAGTGGTTGCATACCCCATTTCTGACTCTAGAGTTTCTTTTGGACAAGGGAAGACAGCGGCATCTCGCGGAAGACGGCTGTCCGACTTTGCACAGGGACGATGAACGTCTCCATCTAAACCAAACAACTACCTTCTCAAGCTTTCGTCAAGGTGTCACGGAGAAGCGGTGTCCTGTCGGTATATGGTTAGACGATCTTCATGCCGCAAGAGCATGTGCCAAGGACTCTTGCCGAATGATTTTGCCACTGATAATGCATCTCTTGCAGGCACTAATCGGTACGATTCACGTGCTTCCTGTGCTGGGTCCTGTCTCCACTGGAGCTGCCTTAACCAGCTGCCTCACAAAGTTGCTGCACGCTGCACTTCAAATTCATTAAATCTGACACCCGCCTGTGGTTGCGGTGGGCTGCCTGGGCAGCGCGCAGCATGCCAGGCCTCACATCATGGGGAGGTCCTTGCCAGGCCCTGCTATCCTGAACTACCCTGTGCAGGAAGCAGAAGCCCCGGCACTCTTTGTTGAAGTAGAAAAGCCCCCGGCCGGTACCAGGCGCTCGTGCAGGCTGGCGGAGCAGCTGCGGAGCTCTCGCTGGGTGAGGTTGAAGAGATCCTGGGTGCGAATTCAGGGCTCAAGTCCTGGAACCCTTCCCCCCAACGACACCTCAAGGTCCACGACCCCAACTTTTTTTTCTAGGGCAAGGACATCGCACTCTCGACTGTGTCGCTACAGGAGCACACTTCTAAACTGGCATCGTCCGTGGAGCCTAAGAGATGTACTTGCATGGTTGGTCGAAGGCCTCGCGATTCTTGGATCTTTCAGGCCCTCGGTCTGTGACCGAATGCCGCCCGAGAGGCCGGAGGCAGCGGCTGGCCGTCCGGACAGCGCGCCTGCTCTTCACGCAGGCTGTCGAAGCAGCTGTGGGCACAAGCCTGGCAGTTTCTGCACGATGTCTGGCTCACTTTACCAAGATTTGCCTGCAGTGCTCTCAGGTTGCTGCAGCAAACGGCAAGTGAGTTTTGTCAGCACATTTGCTGTAGCATCTGATCGAGCCCCTCCTCTCGCATGCCACCCCAACCGTTTCTCGTCTTCCTGTCAATCATCTAAGTCGGAGGTGGTGATGATTCTTGTGGACCCGGCTCCAATGGCACATGAGACCGTGGAATGTAGGTGACGTATGGTGACTTCCCAAACCAGCCCCGAAGTTGCTTGGCGCTTTCAAGCAAAACGTGGAGCAAGAAGCCTCGAGGGGCTTGATGCGTGCCTCGGGGTCGTACCTCTGCGAGGACAAGGATCTCCAACTAAAAGGGGCGAGATTAGCCACTTTAAGCTCATGTCCATGCGGACCGCCATCGAACATAGAAGCCATCGCGATTTCTGGATCCGTGGCTGAATTCAGTTGACGCAATCGCCAAGTGGCTGTCATGATACTGCAACCTCCCCAAGGTCCCTCTGCGCATCTCTGCGCCGCCACAGACACTATCAGTGACATGGAAGCAGGGGCGCTGAAGGAATTCTGCCAGCAGAGTGATGAACCTCATCTAGGGAGCATCCGAACAGCTTCCGGAATGCTGCGCGGCGTCTACAAAGAACGAGAACTGAGATGCGGGCTCTGGCGCCACGGTTTTCCGAAAGATGGTGCCTGAAAACTGACAGCAATGATCAGCAAGCACCTGCACCCAATTCCACCAAGCCACCCATGTCCCAATTCGGTTGACTCCATTGCACCGAGGTGATGGCCCCAGCTGCACGGGGGAACGTTCGGGAAGGCGAAACTGAAGTACCTGTCCCGAGAGTTAAGATTACGTTACCCTGACAAGCTACCCTCGGGTTGGCATGGCAAGCCGAAGAGAACATCTGTTCTGGCAGGTACAGTGATGCAAAGGTCACTGAGGATTCATCGCCAAGACCTGTCTTCGAGACGGTGATCCAAGGACCTCAAGGCAGGATGATGCTGTCGTCTATCGGATCTCTTCTGTATGTCTGATGTGTGAAGGAACTCTAGACCTAAAAACCCTCGTCAGCTTAAAGCCGTCTTGCACATGCGCCATCTTATACATGCTTGAATACCTTCTGCGAGCTGTGTGTGCAGCACAACGAGGCACCCTTTTCCTTTGGCGTGGCAGGTGGGTATGCCGAGCCGTGTACTCAGACGCACTGCTTCCAAACGTCGCGGGCCGGAGAGGCCCATAGTGTGTCCAGGACCTCTCTGATGCCCATCGGGTTACCAAATCAAATGCGATGGACTCGGCACAGTGCTGCAGGGGAGGGGGGAACCTCCCGGACAGGCGTCGCAAATCTGAATTATAGAGACTTCAGGCAGGAACTGCAGGCCGCTTCGTGTCCACACTCTCTGCCAGAAAATGTCTGTGGAAAATACCCGCAGAAACTACGTATAGCTACACATAGCCATGAAAATGCACTCCCTTGCTCTTAAAGCAGCTGTGCCGTTGCCAGGGCTGCCGCAGCAAAGCCGACCATCTCCATGCTTGCGTCAGACGTGGACGCACCGGTGGTGGTGGTGCCGCAGGTCGGGACCGTGCTCCAGGACAGGCTGGCGTTGTTGTAATGGCTGCTGGTGTTGACCTGGGCACACATCGGACTGGCGGAGTCCGGCACGAAGTTCTGGGCACCGCCGGCAATAGAGCACACGACGTTCGTGGAGGTGACATCGCAGCTCATGCCTGCATCGGGCACGACCGTGCATGTAAAGTTGGAGTCCTCGCAGCCTGCAGGAGAGGCACAGCCAAGCGAGGTGCCCTCACTGCAGGTGAAGCCGAGACCGGTCGGCACCTCCATGAACCAGCCCCAAGCCGCCCTTGCCGGCGAAGCAAAGAGTCCTCCCATCGCCTGGAAGGCCATGGCGCCAGCAGCTGCAGCAACGATCTTCATGGTCATCGTGAAGGCGCGAGATGCAAAGAGCAGGCTCTGGAGTGCTTGGTGCCAAAATGCTTTCCCACGTGTCAGCAGTGCGAAACAAGAAGCTGCATGCACATGGTAGCATGCGAAAGCGTGTTAGCACAGCTTGGGGGCGATTCGTTGAAGCTGGCACATCCATTGAACGAGGCTATGTGACGAAACTGTCGCTCTGTTCCCAGCTCCTAACTCCCAAAGACACAGTAAGGTCTACGTGGCAGGTTGAAAGCACTGCTGCAGGGAAGAGCCTTGACGATCTCCACCAGCTGGTCCACTCCGTTTTCGCCAGGAAAGAGCGGCCGCCCTGAAATGCGTCAAAGGTGTAGCCAAACTTCAAACTTCCCAGCTTTCTTTTGTGCATATGATGTCGACCTTATCCGTGCCGATGCCACTAATTGGCCCTGTCTGGCTTCAAACTTCTTGTCGTGAAGGCATTTCCGACTCTGTGATCTCCAATACACAAACAGATATGGCGCAACGAGCCTCGAAGCATTTCCGCGAGTACGCAGCCAATGGACCACAGATCCACGGCCGTCGTGCTGTCAGGGGAGCAAGGCTTCCACCCCCCGTGAACTACACGATTGAAGTAAGAAAGCGGAAACAGCCTCGTGACGACTATAGATTGAACGACCTCAGGCTCTGGCTAGTTCGTGGCACCGAAGATGAGCTCCGGTGCGCGATAGTAGCGAGAGCAGATATAGGCAACCTGCGGCAAAGATGTCCGCCGTTTGAGTAGCATGGTTGAAGTACTTACAATACAAATCGGCTCTGCGGCATGAATTCTACTCTGCCTGAGAGGAGGGGGGAATCTGATATCGCGGGCAGGAGGTGTCGCATCCCGAAATCCATGTAATGTCTTCTAGTGTTTGATAGTATATTACCTATCAGATTTTTTTTAGTACATTATAGAATATAGTAGTATATGACAGTATGTGTATATATATATATATATATATATGCATATATAGTCGTATATTATAGGCTGTTGTGGCTGTAAGCTCAGTATTTTACATCACCTGAGTGCGCTGCCAAGGCGGGCCGCCCCTGGCTGAGCCGGGCCGCCGAGCCGAAGTCACCTGGGATTCTTTAGCACTTCGTGGATTTCGGGTTTTAGGGTTCAAGGGTTTAAGGGTTTAGGGTTTAGGATTTAGGTTTAGGGTTTAAGGGTTTGGGGTTTAGGGTGTAGGGGTTAAGGTTTAGATTTTAAGGTTCGGGTTGAAAAGGTTGGGGCTTAGGGAAGGTTCTAGCAGTTTTGCATGTATGCATTCATTGCGGGCTGTCCCAAATCAACCACTTGAGGACGAAGCGACTTTGCTCTGTCTGACGGTGAGCACTCTTAGGTGCAGACAGAACATTTTACAGGCTTTAGGTTTGGCGCGGTGCAACCAAGACGTCCGGCGATCCGAGAGTTCGCCGGAATCCATTCTGATGAGCGTTCGGTCCGCTCAGCTGGCTTGCAGACGCAAAAAAAGCCAGGAGTTTGTCGATGGCAGACCCCACAAGTGCATGGCATACTTCTGCAACAAGCCAACTCCAAACAGGCTGCACAACGGCAAGGGACCAGTGAAAACATCCATGGCACCTGCTTCGGCTAGCCTAGCTTCGTGAAACTGTCCACGCCTCCTCAACTCGACATGCACCAGTTGCGCATGACATATGAGGGCCTGACACAACTTGAGCAGATGCCCCCGTGACGCATCCACGAGCAAGTTCTGTGGCCTGGAGCGGGTGCATCTCTTGCATTGATTGCCTTCCCTGAACAGCGTGGTAGAGAAGACGCTGAAGTTCAAGATAAAGGTTGCTGGGACGGCAAGGCGCCCCCTGGGTTTCGACCAAAGCCACGCTCTGGCGCCGTCAGCTGTGGCGGTGGCGGGCAGCTCATTGTGAAATCAAGTGCTCAAGATCTCTCATTACTTGCATGGTGAGTCGGCATCGTGCTTGCGCCACAGTGCTGCGCATTTTGCAGTGCTCTAAGTTTTGGAATAAGAAAGTCGTGCTGAGTGTCGTGGTGCTCAGGTTGACCTTCGATTCGCTCGAAGCCTACAAAGTACTGAAGGCGTTAGCAGGCCACACCGTTTGGCTCCTGGGAGACTCCTCGGTGTGGTCCCAACGACAAATATCTGGATTTTCAAGCATTCGATTCGAAATCGTGCTCCTGTCACAGTGACGTGCGGTTGCGATTCGTCTTCCTGCCACATTCCCGTGCGTTTGCATGCGTTTGCGCTTCCCGAAATCGTGCCCCCGCCATGGCGCCATGGCGACGCCGTGTCCTGTGCGTTTCCGCCTCACGAAGTCCCGCCGGGGGGCCTTGCCCGAAGGAAACTCCTGGAATGGTTCTTGCGTCTGCAGGGCTTGCACTCGGACTGCCAGGAACTCTTTCATTGTTTGGGGTCTACGGTGGCCTTGATACAAAGCCAGTTCTACGGAGCCACGTGGACTTAGATCCTATCGTGAGCCGTGTCCACTGTGGGCCCAGCTTGATGTCCCTGTGGACCACGCCGCTGGCATGGAGATGGCCCAGTGCCCGGCAGGCCTGAAAAATTGGAAGATGGTCGACAAAAGGGAGACCTGAAGGCTCAAACTCAAGCTCTGCGCACCTGGTATGCATAAAGCTGAACGACGATGCGAGGCATCTGCTGCTTCTGTTTGCCTGGCTGATGAAGGGCAGGGTCTGCTCGATCCACAAGCCGTCTCCCGTGCCAGCCCCCTCAAGCGCACACCAACTTTGGCCGCTGTGACGTTTGCCAGATGCGGGCTGTAGGTGGGCAAGTATCTGTTGACCCAATGCCCGACATTAACACAGCAACGCCTCGAGTTGCCGATACAAGTATCGCATGGCGACAATAATTTGCACTGCTTGGTGAAGCACAGCCATGTAAGAAGGGACAGGCAACCAGCGCAGCCATATGCCATAAGAAGAATTTGCTTCGCAGCAGCTCTGCTTGGCAGCAGCTAAGATGGGGGGTTGCGACAGCGCGAGGAGACATGCAGGCTCTGAGCTCACAACCCAACCGTGCACGGATTCTTGGCTCTAATTCGACATGCATGCTACTGTCGGACTCTTTGTACAGCATTTGCCGAAGAGGCTTCGACATGATAGGCTATTGATGGCTATTCTTAGGTGGCAAATAGATCTATGTCGGCGTTATTAGTCTCAGAGTCTTGTCATCCGCCTTGGAGAATCCTGAGCATCAAATCGGTGGAGCCTTTTGCAACAAGGGCTAAACACATTGAGGAAAAAACATGCTTCCTCAATCTTTTTGGTGAGCACCGGGCCTCCGGTAGATGGCTTCACGGCGCTCCCAGAGGACCTTCACCTTCCACGGAACAAACGGGAGAGTGAAGGTCCAGAATTTAGTCAGAACCACGACAGCAAGCAGACCTCATCCATCCATTCCTCCATCCATCCATGCGCCGATCTATTCAAAGTCAAAACATCCATCCACACTAACCCTCTATAGAAACTTCTAAGAGCACTTCGGCCAAAACGTTTCCGCACATGTACTGGCGGGGTTCAGAGACATGACCACGATGCTTCTCAAGGCCAAACTGCTATATCACCGGGAGGATTGTCATGTCGAGGCCAACAGTACGCCAACGTATTGGAATTAACAATGAATCGCGCTTTTCGGAGGGCGCAGACACGCTGGTATCACGGAGAAGGTTGTCAATTCCGATGACGCATCGTCACGGCACCACATACTCAGCGCCATTTTAGGGGCTTGGCGACTCCATTGAGCCCTGCCCAGTGCTGGCAGCATATTACATTTGCCTTGAACTGGATCACCGTTCCAATACATCAACCTCACAAAAATATCGCAGCATGCCATCTCACTTCATGCCATCTCACTTCATGCCATCATGCCATCTATGAAAGATCAATCCCGAAATGCTTTCGGAAAGAAGAGTGCACAGCTTCCCACCCATCCGCCCACCACTCGAGCACCTCGTCCCAGCGCTCGCGGGACAAGGCCAGCAGCGTTCCCGTGGAGGCGTCTGCACACCTTTGCACGGAAGCCCACATAAGCTCGGATTCTAAGCCGGGGCCTTCGGCAAAGAAAGCTGCGAAGCGCGCAGGTACTTGTAGATCACACCACTCGGGCCATGGTAGCCCATGGACTTGATGGCCTGGAAAGCTGTGCACAGCAGCAGACTTGGACGACATACGCCTCATTTAGCGGCAAGGCGGCAATACACTCAAGGACGACATCACTTTGCTGGCAGCTATATTCAGATGGCACGGGATAGCACAGGCCTTTTGCCGACTTACCATGACTAGCACTGCCGAAATGTGCCTGACACCACTCGTCCAAGTCGACGGAGTCGCTCCCGTCCTCGTTAAGAACTCGACTGCGACACATGAACCATGGCTCAAGTCTCACCCGACGGAACTTTGAATATACTATGCCGGTCGGCGGAAAATTCAGTAACTGAAACGACTGATTCGGTAACCAGAACGGCTGATTCAGAAACCAGCCATGATTCAGAAACCAGCCATGATTCAGAAACTGGAAACGGAAAATTCGGAAACCTGAAAACCTGATTCGGAAACTGGAAAGCCTGATTCGGAAACTAGACCTTGATTCGGAAACCAAAACGACTGATTCAGCAACGATGGACGGAATTAGGCTTCGGACATGGATGCTCTTTTCCCAAATCGCAGTAGACCATGGACGTCATCAGGCTTTGGACATGGATGCTCTCTTCCCAGATCCCAGTAGACCATGGACGTCATTGGGCTTTGGACATGGATGCTCTTTTCCCAAATCGCAGTAGACCATGGACGTCATTAGGCTTCGGACATGGATGCTCTGTTCCCAAATCGCAGTAGACCATGGACGTCATCAGGCTTTGGACATGGATGCTCTCTTCCCAGATCGCAGTAGACCATGGACGTCATTAGGCTTGGACATGGATGCTCTGTTCCCAAATCGCAACAGACCATGGACGTCATTAGGCTTTGGACATGGATGCTCTGTTCCCAAATTACGCAGTTGCCGAAGAGCAGTTTCTGAAGCGCGGTAGTTTCTGAAGCGCGGTAGTTTCTGAAGCGCGGCAGTTTCTGAAGCGCAGTTTCTGAAGCGCGGCAGTTTCTGAAGCGCAGTTTCGGGCCCAGTTTCTGAAGCGCGACCAGTTGCTGAAGCGCAGTTTCTGAAGCGCAGTTTCTGAATCAAGCGCCAGTTTCTGAATCATCGGTTGTTCTACTATGCCCATATGCCCCCCATCAGGCATGTCCTTGTCCAAGAATTCATAGGCAACCTGCCATACTGAAGTGGCAACTGATGCACACAAATCCCCGCCTACTGCAACATGAACTTGGAGTGGCGTACCGTGACTTTCAAGCACAGCATACCTGCCTCAACGCTGCCAAAGGTGCGGTCAACGTACCTCAGCTACTTGAGGACAAATCCGTGTCCGCTCCGCGACTGAAGTTGGAAGTTGGAGGATGGGCTTAGGCTTACATGAAGTCGTGACCACACTTCGCAATCTTCGCAATTGCGCGGCGCCATGGTGTCAGCTTCCTGGCTATGGGATCTGCTCTCGCAGTAAGGCAGGCGCTGAAGCAGTTCCAGAATGGCCAGCTGCAGCTCCTGCGCGAACGGCGGTGCCCAGAGTCCAATCTGCTTCTGTATGCAGCTGACCTAGCCCCACAACGCAGCAGGACTACCGAAACACTGCCACCGAAGAGCTACCCATACTCCTGCCAATCGGGACGGAGAATCCAGCACCGCGCGAACTTTACGGTAAACTAGTCGCTGCCCTTGAGCGTCTTCGACTGTCACGGGTCCCGTTCATGTTGGAAACAGATCCAAGCACTGATCCAAGCCGCCAATCTCACCTGGCCCTGATCTGAAGCTTAGCTCACAGCTTGTTTAAGTGTGGCTCAGGAAAAGTCCCAAGCACCCAGGAGAGCCCTGCAGCGAGACCCTGCCTTGAGAAGATCGTCCATGACCTGCCACTCCTCCCAGGAGATGGAACCTGCGCTCGGCGTGAGGCAACATGCGGTTCTGCGTCAACGTCAACCCCTCCTCTTCCCTGATCTGTCTGGGCTCAGCTACGATAGATAAAGTTAGGGATCCATGTTACAATCCACTCCCCTCGTACGATTCCATACGAGTATAGCATCTGTGAACCTGCGATTCATCCACAAGGAGACCCTGCAGCAATCGCTGCATGGCATGATATTCCACTCACTTGCTCTGGAAAAGGGCTGCCTCCCCGATCTGGATCGAGGTATCGGAAGAGCTCAACTGCCTTCTCTGAATCTTTGAACCTCCGTGCTTTCGCGACTGTAGAGGCTACTGCATCGGTTCACTTGGGGCTGTCGCTCTCGCCAGCCGAGTCTTCCAAAGGCATCCTTGAACTCTTTCCTGGCGACAACTGAAAACTCATAGAGATGTTAGGCAGGTCGTGGCTTTTTCTGCTCTGTACTGATCGAAGGGCTGCTTCCGTATATAGATTGAAGAAAGGAAGAAAAGAGAACATTGCTGCAAACAGGCCAGAACTTCAAGGACAGCTTGCCATTGCCGTCTGGCCTCGTGCGTGATCCACGGAAGACAACAGGCAACTGATGGCACAGCATTGCAAAAGACCCGGGTTCTGAATTCCCTTCCCCGCATTCATCGTCCACAGTGGCTGGATGCTGACTCATCTACACTGTCATGTGAGTGCGGATTGGTAGCGTTTATTGACACTAGGTGCTTATTGCCGAGACATCCTCAGCACCGCACCCGTCAATCATCTGGAAAGCCGCTCGAAGATTGTGCTTGAAGTGACGCATGACCTTGAAAACTCGCCGCGTCTTGAAGAGCGGATTGATTGTAGACGAGGCCGGCGCATGCACCAAGAAAGTGCTGACAGCCTCTGGCACAGCCTGACCCAAAAAATGACAACGTTGTAAAGAAGGAAGTTGCACCGGGAATTGGAGGTTGCAGGCAAGGTGGTCGCCCCCAATGGGCTGCATGCAAGGACGTGCCTGCACGTCTGCCCACCAAACGACTTTGGAGCTCTGGATTTCAGTGTTCCAGCCCCTGCAGCATTGGCAGCTGCGATGTCTTTCGACACATTGAAGCTCCATACTCGCTTCTGTCTCGGCTTGGAGCACGTCATCAGGAAGGCCCCCGACCCGTATCTGAGCAGATTCTCGATCCTCATGTCCAGACTCCGATCCTCGCATCTCCGGACGCAGGCCAAGCTGTGTTTCGCTGATGCCCTCACCTGCGTTTCAGCTGCTACTGTACCGTACCCTCATCGCAGCTCTCCTCTGGAGCTGCCATGTACTGCCAGCTCAGCATGCCGTTCGGGATCGTCCTCAGAGCAAGTCAGAGGCTCCACAGCTCTCACCACCGGGATCACTGGGGGCATCGCTGCAAATCCTTCCAGGTTGCTGGGACCTAGAAAAACCGCTGAATCTACGCTCCAGAGCTCTGTTAACCCGACTGCTCGCACGAGAGCTCCCTTAGCCTCCGACGCCTCGATCGAAAGCAAACTCGCTCTTGTCTGCAAGCACAAGCCTGGTTACCATGCCATATGACCAGTGACCTACCATGGAATCTCTCCCTCAAAACGATCTCCTGCCTAGGCTGGCGCAGGTTCCCCAAGCGGCCAGGCGCTTCTTTCAAGTTCATCCGTACCTGGCAGGTCGATTCTTGAACTGAAACGAACCAGTGGTGGACGCTGTGCAGAGGAAGAACCGGGAAACACCTGTCAGGGATGCAGTCAGGCAGGCAGCAAGCCGATCTTCAGGAATCGTGGTGTCGAACACCTCGAGGCGATGGGCGATGGATGGGCGATGGTGCTGCATGGAGCAGTGCATCGCCGAAAAGCAAGACCGGATCAACAGGGGGCACTCTGAACTGACCTGAGAAGCCCAATAAGATCCTCACGAAGCGGTACTGCTCTGGCTGGATGTAGGGGAAGAGCGTCAGCGTCTCGGGCAAGAGCGTAAGGAGACATGCCAGCCCCAGTTCAACGATTGAAACCGCTGAGAAGAGCACACCGAGGCGTAGCTTCAGCTCGTCCCACTCGTCCGGGGCCTTCAAGAGATATGGCCGACTCCGGCTCTCAGCCGAGTATATATATGGGAGCACTCCAAGCTCTGAGCACTTTCGTGCGAGGAAAACTACGTGGCCTGCAGCTAGAGTGCAACTAGATCCAGCCAGACCAGGTGTTTCCTGCTTCCCTGAGCATGGTCACTTGCCTGTGATAGATTGATGCCGGGGAACGCTGACAAGCTGCACCCCTGCATCAGTGGCTTGGCACCGGTGGTGGAAGCTGAGACATGAGCGATGCGTGAGACAATCATCTTCCTCAGCATATCAGTGCAGGCTGCAACAGACGCCGGCGGTGTCTTTAATCCACGGCAGGAAGACAGATGTCAGTACGCGCAATGAGCTGCGGCCACGTAGCATGTTCTGTGGATCCGAAAGCCGCAGAAGGAGGAATGTCAAGGCCTCGCGTGGGCATGCTGTCGAAATTGCAAATGTTCTTGAGTCCGGCAGTCCGTTCGAACCTCCAGGCGGAAGGTGCGGTCCCCGAATACGGCCACAAGCTGGCGGCACTGCGCCGCAGACAGGTAGATACGGTCCTTGGCCGATCTTCCCTCCCCACCCTGAAGTATCATGGTAAAATAGAAAGCCAAGCGCGCTCGGGCTCCGACAGCAAGCCCTCGCAGGACGTGAACTTTGGCCTCTTGTTGCAGAGGCGCCTGCAGTGGAGGGATATCGTACTCGACTTGATTAGTTTATCAAAGTCGCCTGCGCTAGCTGCACCATCATCTCGTCCCACCTGCTCCAAAGCTGAGCAAAGCACACGCATCGTCTACATTACCGAAGCTGCTTTAGGCCTTTCTGCCGGGAAAGTTGTCGTGTCCTGTGTGAGAAGCACCGGGCTGCTTCAGAAAGGGGGCTCCAGGCAAAGCCGCAACCTTTACTCAAGGCTTCAGCTCTTTACATGTTGATCGGCACAGCAACTCTCCTTTTTTGCTGCACCTCTGACGTGGGTACATGTGCGCATCGCACGCACTGCCGGTGGTCGGCGGGCGGGAGCGGAGGGATGCTTTGAGCCCCGCATGTTGCAGTGCATCAGCCTTACTGATTCAAGGCTTCAGCTCTTTACATGTTGATCGGCACAGCAACTCTCCTTTTTTGCTGCACCTCTGACGTGGGTACATGTGCGCATCGCACGCACTGCCTCCGCCCATCTAACCCACAAATTGCGGGCTAAAAGCCTGACCAACGGCAGTCAAGGAGAACCAGGTTTTGGTAGGGTAGCCATAAGCGTCGAAGGCCTCAGCCTGGGCCAGCATCTCTGGAAAATGCCGCATGACATTCAGAATGCGCTGAGAAACCTGGTCTTGCAGTTTCGAAAGAAAAAGCACCGAGGAGACCTCCTGTATGTAAATCTCCATTACGCGGGTGTTGAGCCAACGACCCCGCCTGCGCACCAGTTCGCCATTCTCAGTTGCATGCAAAAGCCAAGTGGCTCCTCCTGCTCGCAAGGATCCAAGATCCAGAGGCTTCACACGCTCATCCTTAAAGAGGTGAAGCTCCAGAGCCGCCGAAAGCTTTGAAAACCTCTGCCTGAAAGTACCAGCAGCATATGGCCAAAGAAGCTGTGCCCGATGCTTCCTCTTGAAAGCAAGCTCGACAACCCTCATGAGTTGGGGGTGATCAAGCTTCAAGGCCTGGTGTCTGGCCGCTGTGTGGCGGGTCTTCGGTTCCCTGACAGCCATCAAGATATAGTCGACGGTGTGCTGCACATCAGAGGGCAACACAAGATCTGCCCTTCTAGCAGCGAAGATTTCGCCAATACGGCCCAGACCACCCCAAGCCAAAGCAAGTGTGCCAGCAACTTCTGTCCAGCCCCAAAGAAGAGCTGAGGTCAGCAAAGCCAGTAAAATTTGCCAGGGCATCGCTTGGTGATGCACATGAGGCTCCAGCCTCTGCCACTGGAAAGCAACGTCCCAAGCCGGTTGGAGCAGGCGTCGTATTTTTGGGATCCGCCCCGCGAGAGCATTTACAGTCTCCGAATAGTGGTTGTAAGGGCGACCAGCCTCGTAAAGCGCCCTGCCATACCTGGATAGAATGGCATTTATGACGTCCACGTCCAGAAATCCTGAAGAAGAAAAGGTTTCTTCAGGAATCGCCAGCGATCTGCACCAAACCAGAAAAGCAGCCCACAACGTATCACGAGCTGTCTGGGTCGTCTTCTCAACCGGCCTCCCGTCGGGGAGGGGCCTGTCCTGTCTCGCAAGAGACCGCGTCACGTCACCAGAGTTTCGTGGCTCCAGAGTCCCATGGCGGCGCAGAGGAACAGAAGTAACCCCAACCGAAGAAGAAACCAAAACCCAACAGGCCCTGAAGAGAACCGGTGAGGTCGGGCCCTCGCCTGGGAATCCAAGGGAGGAGTCAAAGTCCAGAAGAGGAGGACGGTAAAGAAGCGCAGGGCAAGAGGCATAGCGATGATGGCGTTCGGGCGGGAGCCAAGGAATAGAACGCAGGACCAATCGAGCCCAATTCGAAGCCCAGCGGCGGAGGCGTGGCAGCGAAGAGAGCCGCTCATCAGGAACGACCTCGTGAAGGAGTGGCCCTGGAAGAGGCGAAGGGATCGGTGCCGAACGGGACGGGCCGTCGGCCGGCATTAGCCTGGTGGGGCAGAAGGGGAGAGCTCCATACAGCCCAAAAGCAAGGCTCAGAGCAGAGACCTGCCGCAGCTCAACGGTAAGTGAAGATGAAGGGGACCTGCCTTTGCTAATCGCACACCTCGACACATTCGAGTCTATAAGCGAAGAGAAACGGCGAGGGAAACGGCCTCTCGCTTTCACCATGCATAGCCTTTTGAAGGCACCCGTCTCATGGACATTGATGTGGCGCTCGTGCTTCCAGTCCCAAGCTGCAACTTGCGACCAGTTCAAGCCAAGGGCCAAGTCATTAACCCAGGGGCTCTCGAGCCCGAAGGCATCTAAATCGGCACATTCCCTAGCTTGAACCAGCCCCTTTATGCCTCGCGAGAACACCTCCACGAGAGAGCCAGCCCATGGCTGAAAAGGGGAACGCTCTTCTCGGAGGGCGGGGCATCCATCATAGCCAGGCGGCGCCGAAAGGAGGCTCCAGACAGGGAGGCCCACAGAAAGCACCTGCAACGCCTGTCCATCAAACCTCAGCTTAAGGTCACGTACCCCTGACTTTGAGGCCAAAGTAGACCAGGCAGGGAGAGCAGCAACACAAGTGGCGCCGGGGATGACGGCCATGGCAAGGAGACCTCTTTGTCTGGCCCACTCCCAGAGAGTAAGGGCACGATGCAAAACCCGGTTTTCCCTCGCGACCTTAGGCGAACAGGCGTTGCCAAACGGGGCGCGGTAAGTGCGAAAAGGCGGCTGCGCTGCCGCGGAAAAGGTGGAGCTGGGGAGCGACACAAGAAAGGAGTCAAGCTTCCCCGTCTCGAGCAGGTGCAAAACCCACAGAAAGAACTCCTCCTGACAGAGGTCGTAGTGCGGAGAAGAGGCCAAATCCAGAAGGGGGCCAACGGAAAAGCCTCGAGCAGCGAGCATGTCAGGCACATACGTTGATGAGCTGCCCAGCTGCAGGAAGTGAAAACGGAAACCCACCGGCCGAGGGCAGGCAGAGGAGAAGGAGTCGAGCGCCGGAGCCCGGTGAAGAGAAGAACCTTCCCCCCAAACATCGTTCTCAAGGGGCTCCTCGTAGAAGAGGTCGGCCTTTTTTAAGCAAGCCTGGGCTCGCGACAGAAGCTTTGTTGAGGCACCCTTCCTATCAGCACTGTGCCAGAGAAGGGCAGCGGCTTCTTGATCAAGAGGGGCCCGAACGATTGCAGCACGGCTATCGCTGCTATCAGTCGCATAGACAGCGGGATCCCACGGAGCAGCCAGGTCGGAGACGACAAGAGGAGCCAAAGCAGCACACAACGCAAGCTCATCGGCGATGGCACGCGGCAGCGGAAGCACCTTGGGCCGAGACGGGTCAAGCTGGTCTGCTCGGTAAAGCCGGAACGCCTCGGAGAAGATTGCCATGGCAGGCCTCCGGTACACAAAGATCGAAGTCCAACCGCCAACAAGGCAGGCGTGCAGGCAGTCAGTGGTGGCAGGCAAGGCAGCTATAGACAACGAGAGCGAGGCCAACGACAACCGTTTGGCTCGGGGAGCGCCAGCTGGTACCAAGCCGAGGGCCCGCGTTGAAGTGGAAGAGTCGATTTCGATGCCCGCAACCTTTGCAAGGGAAGCGCCCTTCACGTCCTTCTCGGCAGAACCCAGAAGCTCGTGCCGAGCGTAAGCTTCGGAAGCCACCTCCAAACACCTCACAGACCCCGAGGCCCTTGAAGAGGGAGCATCCTCGATGCTCACTGAGTAATAGTCATCAATGACCAGACCCTCAAAGAGTTTGCTCCGAAAAGGAAAAGGGCAGCCCGCCAGCAGCTCAGAAGAAGGGGCCAGCAAGCCGTGGTCCTTAAGGAGACGCCGGTGAGCGCTGGTTGCGAGCTCCACTCCGAGGTGATCCCCCTGGAAAACCCCTTGAAAGCAGGCCACCAACTTCCGGTTGGAAGGAGGTACAAGCAAAGAAGCCCGGCCCCGGTGGCACGGCTGTGAACCCGCACGCCGCTCAAGGAGCTCAGCAAGAGCCCGGGTGCCCTCAAGATCAGCCTCCTTCAGTGGAGGATACAGGGAGTTATGAACCGCCTTACGAGGAGCAGAATACAGCTGATGGTAAAAATCTTTACGATCCGTTATGCTCATGCTCAGGGTTTGCAAGGCTGGGTTTACCATAATTCCAAGCAGTGCTGGTCCACATGGCAACGTAGCACTTGGACCTCGAAGCCCTCGCTCCCGGTAGTTCCGGGAGCGGCGGTCGCCTATCTGGCGATCACAGGTGGCGCTCTTGTAACAGTTAAAGACCTTGATGGCGTCGCTCGGGGCAACCTGATCATCGTACGACTCTTTCAGGTAGAGTAGCCCCATCTCATCCCACTTCCTGGCTAGGGCTAGAACCTCCTGGGGCTTCTCTCTAGCCAGGCTAGGCACGTCTGAAGCAGGAGGGTCCCCGCCGTACAAAAGCACATTGGGTTCGAGGCACGCCATACGAAGGTCAGGGTCATCCTCCAGGAAGGGCAGTGGGTCCCAACTCCCTCGGCCAGACAGCTTGAGTCGCGCAGCATTCAACGAAGAGTAGGGCATGACAGGGCTGGCGGCAGCCAGCGACTCAGCACTAGAACGGCCTCCCTCGTAGGCCTGAGAGGCGGGAAGCACAGGAGAAGAAGAACAGCCCGAAGGGCCAGAAACAGAAGTTTCCCCAGGAGCAGCACCATGAAAGAGGGGCCCGTAAGGATCCGATCCTGGGCCAATCCAAGTGAGGTGCTCCGAAAGCTCCTGAAGGGCAGCAATAAGCTGCGGCGACCGGCGCCCAGAGGAGCTCACTGCAAATGGCTCCACGGCACCGCAGGCTCTGCAAAGCTTGGCGATATAAGTAATCGCCTCGGCCTGGCTTCGGTTCGGCTTCCGGCGCAAGTTCTGCAAGGCAGGGGCACGGTTGCCAGAGAAGAGGAAGTTACAGCCCATGACGGCAACGTGAGTAACTCGCCTAATGGCTAGCCGCGCTCGAACCCTAGAGGCCTTAGCAGCAGGGACGTGCTCGAAGCACCCGGGAAAAGGCACCGGAAGAGGAAAAAGAGCCTGAGCAGGAGCGGGAGGAAGCTCCTGGGAGATGTGCAACGTCGACAAAAGAAAAGCTCCAAAACTGCCCCTTGTGGCAACGATCCTGGCAGCAAGGCTAAGACCGAAAGCCCTAAACCCTAGCAAAGGAGGGGAAGGACTGGGCAGGGGAGCTGGGCCGGGGTCTCCTTCAAAGGGACCGGCAGAAGCATGCACAGTGCTCCCTGGTTCAGTGAGGCACGCGGCCGAAAAAGGCCTCACAACACGGGGAACAACTAAATTAAAGCATGGACCTGGCCTCTCAGGAAAGGAGCTGCTTAACCGTACAGGCCTGGCAGCGCTGCTCGCAGGATATGCTTTGACACCTTTGAGGAGAGGGGAAGGCTTATAGGGAAAGGGCCCGCTAAACCACAAACGGCGGGGACTAGAACCCAACCTAGGGAGAGACAAGGACGAACCCAAGGGAGCCGCAGAGAACCTCCAAAGGAAGAGCTCGGCAGGAGGGGCGGCGGCACAACTCACGAGGAAGAGGCTCCTTTTGGATTCTTTGGGAACCTGGGCCGGCGCGGCGGCTTGGGTGTCTGCTGCGCCTCGGCATCTGTGCTCATAGCCTTTGCTCGGGCTCCCCCCACAGCCTCCGATCGCCTGGCCTGTATGAGGTCTATCTCTCGGATGTAGCTGAGCGTGGTGGTCGCCCACACTTGAGGGGTGAGCCCTCCAAAAGCACGAAGCCGGGGATTCTGACTGTGAGGTCTGCTCTGGAACAGCTGGTGTGGCGGGTCCTCCTGGAGGCTCAAAAGGTAGCCTATGTCCCAGGACCCGTTGTCCTGAGCAGCCTGCTCCACCGATATGAGGGCTAAAGCCAGCAGCTCTTCGGCCCCCACCGTATCGCCTGACACCATCGTGTCTGCGATGCTCGCCAAGAGCCAGAACACAATCCCCAGAGACCTTTGGCTGCCATAGCCTCCGAACCTTTCGGCGTACGCCGTGAAGACCGGGCCCCGACCTGCCAGCTCGGTTCTCGAAGTCGGGCTGGGCTCGGATGGAGCCAGCCTTCTCAACGCCTGCTGGCTGACCTGCAAAAGGAAGTTCCCGCTCCTGGCTGCCAGCTGCTCTTGCAGCTTTTCCCTCTTGCTGGCCCCTCTGGACCCCAAAGCGGTACTCCCCACAGCCCCCAGAGAGATGTCGCCGGAATCGGCTTGAGAGACAAGGTGCGACACTAGAGTGCCCAAGGCCTTGCTCTGCATGAGCATGGCATCTGCTAGCGGACTCGGGCCACTCGGCACCACTACTTCTCCCGTGTTCTCGTCGATGACAATCTCGTCCTGAGGCGGCCGGGCAGGCGGCATAGGAGGGGGAGGCTGCAAGATGGGCGCTCTTACCTTGGGAGGTGCTCCTACTAAACCCCTTAGGGAGGTCAGGGCGCCGGCCGGCGAACTTAGGGAAGGTCCTATTGGGAAAGGAGCCCGGTGGCTCGGAGCAGCACTCTGAGAAGAGGCAGCCGGAGGGACAGGTCTCTCCTCCAGCATTTTCTGCCTGGCAGCTATGTCCTGCACTTGCTGGGTAAGGGCGGGAAGCAAAGCCAGCATTGAATCGAGACTCTCGGCCAGCTGTGCAGTGGTCGGCTTCTTCGCCTTTGGGCCAGAACGGCGCTTCGGAGCCTGATCGGTAGCAGGAGCCTCGGGCTCTGCGCCTTCTGTGGCCGAGTAGAAGGCCGTTCGCTCCCCGGTCAAAGTCAGCACCCAAATCCGGGCCTTTTCCAGAGCGTCCGCATACCACAGCATAAGATGAGGGCTGCCCTCGACGAAAGAGAGGGCCTCCACAGGAGAGGTGACAGGATCGTAACGGGCAAGGTGGGTCACCACCTCCTCGGCAAAATCTACCATCAAGACGTTGGCCGACCCGCCCGTCGGGACGAGAGAGCCCTCCTCGTCCTCCTCCGTCATAAGGCAAGAAACCTCGGTCGAGGGCCCCACAAGCATCTCTGGGCCACCTCCGGCCCCAGCATCCAAAAGAGCGCGGTCGAGGGCCCCAACAGGCACAGCTGCCAGCACACCACCTGGCCTTTGCAAAATGGGGACAAACATGCAAGGACGGGCCGGCACCGTCGGCAACTCCAAAATCAAGGTGCCTGCGTCGGCCGGTGCAGCAAGGAACTCGGTAATCAACTCCATTGCTGAGGATCTGGAAACTCCACCGCTGCTGCCTTTGCGTAGACACGGGCTTCTCCCTCAGTGGGGAAACCGTGGCACACCGAATCGGAATGCTCAAGCGCTCCCACGTGGAGCTTGAAACGCCCGAAGGTGGTAAAGTAGCGGACCTGAAGGTCTCCCCGGCAGCGAAGGACAATGTAGACCCGAGAACGCACAGCCAGAGTGGGAGTCGGCTCCACCACCGTCTGCTCGCCTCGGAGCACAAGGCCGGCCTGGAGCCCGGCTTGCCACGCACGAAGGGCTCGGGACTGACGGTCCACCACCCGCAAAGAAGCCACCAGGAAAAGAGCCTCGTTAGGCAAAGGATCACCGACCCGAGGATAAGAAGGCCCTGGAAGAGGGGAGGCAGAAGGCAGAGAAGAGCCACGGTAGGCAAATGCAGGCAAAACCGGAGCAGCGCCGGCAGGCAAAGCAGGAGCAGAACCGGCAGTATCAGACAGCCTACCCCTAGTCTCAGAACCAACACCCCTATCACTAGGGCTATCAACCACCTCCCACTCGGCACCTGAGTCAGCCTCAAGCTCAGCAAGGGCACCGCGGAGGGCGTCCACAAGTGATCTGACGGTCTCAACGAGAGGCCGCCTGCTCATGCAAGTAGCCTCGGAGGCGCAAAGATGCAGGACGAGGGACCGGTGTCACCTCGGGAACAGGGTCAGATCGGAAGGCCGACTGGGCCACAGGGGCCAGAAGGACGGCCCGAAAGAGAAGAAGGGCCCCGAGGAATCCAAAGGAAGCTCCAAATCCAAAAGCAAGCCCCAAGACCAGGAGGGAGCCGGAGCAGTGAGCTGGGCAACCAAGGCCCCACCAGTTCGAACTGGAACCCTGAACGAGAAGCCCCAGAACCCGAGACCAATCCATGCTTTGAGCCCCGCATGTTGCAGTGCATCAGCCTTACTGATTCAAACCAAACGGCTGATAGGCTGCGCCACTCGTGTCCTTGGCCGGTCGGCGCCAGGTGACGAAGTCCAGGAAGAGGAGCTCCGAGCACGGAAGTATCCTTTCACTGTTCGGAAGCTGCTCTGCTACATGCATGCGCTCGCTTTCACTTTGCATATCATCGGACTTGATGCAAAGAGATCCAGCTTCAAAGGGCACAGCGCCACTGACAAACTTGCACTTAGACTTGAGTTTGAGTACCCGGCCATTCGGTCAAAGAGCGAATGGTAAGGCTCTGGTGGATGCAATTACGGACCTCACCAGGCACCGGGTGAGCTGCCATCTGGGCCTGGGCCTCTTTGTTTGGCTAAAGAATGCTCGGCACCCAACACTCGACCAGTTGCCGTACCTCGCAAGAACGGCTGCGGGCACAAGCAGTCCGACGGCCAGCTATGAAACCCAATCGAGCGCACTTGGAGCGGTCTTCCAAACCCTTCGCTTTGGCCACAGATGACTCCCACGCATCCAGCCTGCAGCCACACAGCAACGGCTTACGCATAAATACTCATAATCAGCCAGCTCTCCGTGATGCACGACAATAGAAAAGAGAATTCGCTCATGCGGGCTTGTTCGCGCATCTGCGTTGGTTTGGGTCGACCGCGGCTGAATCAGAACCAGTCTGAGCACACAACATCTTCAGCAACTCTGCCACGGCAAAGTCGCTTGGCTGCGCCAGGTTAAGGTTGTAGCGCCTCGCATCCCGGACACGTCCATGCAGGGTTTTGCCAAACAGACTGTGGGCGAGGCATCACGAGCACAGCTTACATTTTAACAAGCCGGGTCTGCCCAGTTGGGCATTCCGCGTTGAAGACCATAAGCCTGCACAGGCAATCGTACAAAGGCTAAGCTTTGCATCACCCGAGCCGGGGCGAAAGCTGGAAATGATGAGCTCGGTGGCTCTTCGGATGGTTCTGGGGCTATGTAACCGTGTGCACGGGCCCTAGTCTCCTCCCTACCTGGACACGCCCCTCCCTCGGCGCTCCCTTTTCATCTCTACGAGTACGTTGGCGTTCAGGGTTTTCAGGCCCACAACTTGCCTGGCCCTGGCTATGCCGAGCCGAGTCGGCCGGAGCGAAGTGCTAACACTTACTAGAGGCTCTCAAGTGCAACACCCACACACACCACACGGATACACATCACCAACTGTATATGGGCAAGTGTGTAGGGCAGCAGAGTTTCCTGGAACTACGGATTGAAGGGCTGGCCTCTCACAGCGCTTGTAGACCTGCTACCGCGGCCAAATCAGTCGTGGATTCTCGCAACCCAGCACAAACCGCACGAAGGCAATCGGCCTTGATGTATTCACGGAGCCGTGGTAGTTTCGTGAGTGCCTGATGGCTGGAGGTGACTCTGGGCAGCTGGGATGCTGGTCCGGGAAGCTCGGAGGTGGAGGTACAGGTGTACTGCACCAACTTTGACTTCGCTGCTGCCCAGGCTCCAGGAACAAACGCAGCTGTGACCTGGAACCAGGACCCCTACGGCCTATCGTGGGAAGTCAACCAGTGAGGAATGCTGCGACATGTCGAGTCGGAAGCAGCTAGGCTAGCAAAGAAGAACCTCAACTTCTGTTCCTCCCGATTGAACTGAGCGCATAGCAACGAGAAAAACACAGCACAAGTCAGCACGATAATGACCCTATAGAAGAAGCATCTCCACCGCGGGAGGCAGCGACGGCCCACTTGTACCCTGGAAGTGAAACGAAGACGGCTGCAGTCAGAAATACACACAAAAGCACCGCAATAGCAATCAGAGAACGAACCACAAAAAATGGAGGCAGAGAAATATGACCTGCAACAGGTAGAGCAAAGCATGCACGAAAACCATGGCCACCGACCACGAGGACGAGGAAGGGAAGGATGTGACTTGGCTAGTCCAAGGGTTTTGCCACCCCAGCCTGTGCACCCCTGGCAACAGACTCACCATCGCGTCGATGCCATTGAAGGAGTCCTCCCAGCTTCTGTGCACTTGACACACCCCACGAAAAACCGCAGCACGACCACAACTGCTGACCACCACCAAGATTGCTGGCAATCTGAAGATAATTGGCTCTGATGTCAACAGTGGATCGGCCAACCTCGCCAATCTGCGCCAGAAACTCGTACTCAAGGGTGAAATCAGACGACAGGGCATCCTGAAGTCTGGGTGAAGTGCTTGAGTTTGTGGGAGTTGTATGGGTTTTTGGTTTTCGGGTGCGAGGGTACACAGCTGGTAAGTTGGAAAGCTTCACACGCGAGCAGGTTTCATGCGGCGGAGGCTTCTGGACAGACCATAGCCATAGCCCATTCCGGCGGCCTGACCTGACACCGAGGACTGAGGGCCATGCAAGAAGCAGCTGCTGTTCGTCTGAGCGACCCTTGAGGCCTCAGGAGCTCCCATTCGCAGCACCTCTGCGTGTCTCTTTCAATGCAAGCCGAGGGTCTTCTGAAGTGGGCCAGCAGCGGCACGACCTGCATGGCCAAGTTTTCGACAGGAATGACTCGACCCGGCCAGTTGGCCCACCCTCCGCCGCCTTTCGAATGGAGAGCTTCCGCCGAAGTTTGGCCTCAAAGGAACACCAAAGCTTTGGGGATGGGAGCTCTAGTGGGGCTCGTTCAACTCTGGACAGGGCGAATGTGTGGCAGATCGCAGCAACGCTGGAATCGTGAATCGTGCGCGAAGCCTTTTCGTTGCCTTCTGGCAGGTCATTGAAATCTACGTCGATGCAAAACCTGGGAAGTTCGTGGCGGCCCTCGCGCGCCATTCCTGCTTTCGTCCCTGCTGCGTCATCGAACTAACTGGCCCAGGATCGGGCCACTTCAGGGTATTCCCCGGGGTGTGCGAATTTCAGGCTTACAGCAAAGGATCGGACTTGAGTTTGGATGCGAAGCGGGTAATACCCTGACGCTGCACGGAGACAGTGAGGAGACAAGCTTTCAAGTCTCATTCCCACTATGGTCCCGGAGCAGCGGAAGATGCAAAAGTTAGGCTACATCAGGAAAGGTGTCCAAATCATGGTGTGACCATAGCCGAAGCTAGTTCGTTTTCTGGAGCACGCCGGCGCTGGGCGCGAGGCTCCAGACCAAGGAAACAATGAACTCAAAGCAAGAAGGCAGGACTCCCAGGACAGGCGACCCACTGCGTGGGGAGAGCTCTGCCTGCAGATCGAACAAGCTACCTTCGACCTCCATCTTCCGGATGAGCGAAATATCTTCTGCCAGGACTTGCGGATCGTCATGGATCAAAACCGCCAAGCCGGTGACAGTGAAAAGGTCTATCGTTTTCTGTACACGGTCTCCTACATGGACGTTCTCCTCCAGAGAAACGTAGGAGCGCAGTCTCCTGACTGCGTCAAAACCAGGTGTGCCCGCAACGACCTCGGGATCCAGAAAGCTCGAAAGACTCGAATGCCAACCGCAAGCAGCACAAATATCCTCAAGAACACGTAACCGCGCACCATTCAGCAGAGCGACACCCTCCTGGAAAGAGATGAGACTGACCATCTCTCCCGCCTGACAGCTGACAACAAACAGCAATCCCGACGCAAAGTTGTCTAAGACTGTGCCAGACGAGGCCAAACCAAAACCTCTCCTGAGACAATCCGGTTATCTCTGGACTTACCGACGATAGGGCGATGACAAGTTTCAGAACTTGGTGTCGAATCGTCTACAAGCTTACAACAGCACAGGAAACGAGTTCTCGCCTTGAGGAATGGTGAGGGAGGCACCTCGGACAAACGATCAAAAGCCTCGGGGTTCAAGAAGGCATCCACACAAACTCCCACTTGCGTATAGCCGGTGAGTGCTTCCGCGAGAGGCATCCAAGCCCCGGCAGCACCGTGACACCTGCTGTTGACCTCGACGAGGCATGGCCCGTCGGCAGTCATCATCACCTCGGTGTGTGTTGCGCCATTGGTGACCTTCAGGGAATCCAGGCAGCCTCTGCTGTAAGCAATCAGCTGTTGCGCCACAGGATCGTCTGCAAGCACACACTTCTGTCCGTACATCACGAAATCGCCACCGTTGGCGGCTCTTCTGTCGTACACCCAAACCATGGTCGTCTTGTGGACCCCATTTCTTGACACGATGTCGACGATGTACTCTGTGCCTTTGAGAAACTCTTGTACCAAGACCGCTGCGCCTTGAGCACCACACTTGCGCTGCGAATTCATGAGCAGCTCGAAGTGTTCCTTTGCCTCTTCGAAGGTGTTGCACTTCTTCACTCCATCTGAGCCGGCAGACTCCACGGGCTTCACGATCAGGGGCAGGGCCTCCTGCGCGGCGAAGTCGCTGACCTCAGAGACAACACGCCGACGAAGCTTTCAGCCTTTCAAAAGAGGTGTAAACCCTTATAACCCTGACAACCCAGCCCTGGTAACCGTCCCTGGATCCTTGTGGGATCCCCCCGCTGGCCTCGCTCCACGAGGTGCCACAGGCCGAGCGAACGGATCGGAGCCCGGCTGCCTTGACGGCTTCCTGCTGGACCCGCTTGTCCCTACGGTTCTCCATTCCATCTGCGGTGCTGTTCCCTTGAAGACCCAGGAACTCTGCGAGCGCATCGGTAACCTTCACGCCGGTCTCGCCACCGCACATCACGGCGACCAGCTCCATGCCAGCGCCCAGCGCCTCGAAAGGGATGGAAATGCCCCCCACTCCCACCACGTTAAAAGAGGAGGAGGCAGCAGGCTTACTTTGCTTCTGCCGCACCAACGACACCTTCTCAAGCTCGAAGGCAGAGTATGTGAGAAGATCTTCTTTGTGATGCAGTGCTGCCGGAGGAAGGCCGATTGCGATAACTCTTCTCGTGTAGAAGCCACCAATACCAAGTAAAACTTTCAGCGCATGCCACCAACCCTCTCGACTTTTGAAGAGATCTGATGCGAATGAGAGAGTGGGAGCACGAAAGAAAAGAAACTGAAACCAAAGCACACTCCAACACCCCGGACAATCGAGCCACATGACGAGCTTGGTGACCAAGTTCGGGGTTCTCACACGACCCTTCATCTCCATGCGACTTTGCACAATCTACGGCAAGCGTGAAGTAAACGCTCAAAAGGTGCCTTCTGGATGGTCGCCGCGGTCGCTGCCAGAGTCTCCTGCTCTTCGAGTTCGCACAAGAACTTCTCTGGGACGCCTTTCGCGGCTGCCGGAAAGTGCCCACGGTTCCTGGGTTGCCGATGGTGCCAACCAAAGACACTTACGGAAAGAGCCAAAGCTAAAACGAAGTCGAAAGCGCTGCCAGGCTCTTGTTCCCAGGGGCTCTTGCACTTCTGAGGTCCACAAGGCCATAACGCAGTAGTTCCGCTGCAGCAACTCCGCTGCCAGCATGCCGCCGGTCGAATAGGGATCCACGACAACCACGCACTGCTGCAAGCGCTGCACCATCTGCTGAGAGACACCCATGGCAACTATGGAAGATTTACAAGTGTCTGCTATCACCACGAGTCCATGCACTGCAAAAGTTGTGCCGGCAGGAGCAGCATGAATACAGGAACATGCGGTAGTGGTACCCAAACACACAGGCCTGCGGACTCCTTGCACAGGGGGCCGAGCAAGGTGCCGGTCGATGTACATGGACGCCAATGGCCGAGGACCTCGAAACCTCGATGCAAACCACGTGGGCTGGCCGATGTGGCCCTACGTGTACAGTCTGACGGCTCAGCTGCAGACCGGCCATCCAAGCCTTCATGTTCAGGGACCAGGCGCATGCGTGCCTCGCCAAGTAAAGTGAAGGCAGCTTTCCGACCGAGCGCTTGACTTCAGCCTCATCCAGGCAAAAGAAGAAGGAGATGATGCAATCCGCGGCAACTGGATAGACCTTTCAGGCGAGACGCTGCGCCGGCCGTGACAGTGACACTCGCACGAAGGCACTGACACCACTTGCATCTTTTCCTGCCGGATGCTGGAACCTGGCATATTCGGGTAGCGAATTTCGAAATCAACTTCCTACGCTTCCCCACACGCTTGTGACAGACTAAGACCCAGTAGCGAGAACCACCCCAACCTAATTCCTCAAAACCAGCCAGTGCACTTGGCCGGTGCTCTTGTGGCTGTCGGCGACGGCGCCACAACCAGTTGCTGGAACGCCTGGAGCCAAGCGAGCACTGCTTGCTTCAAGGCACCACTCAAACCCTCGGGCTAGTTCGGCCAGATTGACCCAAGCGGCACGGTGGGCAGTTTGCGACTGTTCCTGCGATGACCTAACCCAAACTGCTAACTCCTGCCTGGTTGAAGTCAAGATTCACAGCTTCGCAGGTCTTGTAGAGCAGGCGAAGCAAAGATCTGCATGCCAGGAAAGCGCGAAAGAGAGCTGGCAGTTGCAGTACAGATACCGAATACTGGAACCTGACGCCAAAACAGAGTTGCAAGCGCCTGCCATGGCACAGAGTCAGATCCAGCCTGGTCTCAAGGCCGGTGTAAACGAAGTCAAAACAAATTCGACGACTCGGGGACTCGCTTGTAGTGCCCGGAGGGCTCGCTCGCCCTGTAGCCACAGTGGCCCTCTGCAAAGCGGCTCTCGTCGCTGGTACCTCCAGGCCAGGCATGGCAAGAGGCGACTCAAGGCAGTAACACCGATACACGGCAACAGGGATTGGTGGACCGACGGCCTTGGCATCCCACGGCATCGAGCATTTTCAGGCCACACGTGGGTTGTCCCAGCAGGCGAAAGAGGCACCTGCCGTCTGCAGACTTTGCAAAGAGGACTGTTGCGAGGTGTCATTCCATTCTGTTGAAAGATCGAAATCAGGTCCGGGCAAGGAAAACGGATCTGCGAGCCTCAACCCATGCACGCCAAAGGGGTTCTGTCCCACGAACAGCTCCTGGAGCCCACAATGCGCACAAGGGCGAAGACACGAGGAGACGGTGGTCCTGCAACTTGGTGTGCTTGGCCAAGGAGTCCTGGGGGCGGGAGATGACGCTCTGACACGAATCGAGGCAGCACAATCCTAGGATGTGTCACAGCTGCACGGCCTCCAGGACCAGCGCGCTTGTCGACGTCAGCCGATTCATGGAGAGATCCAGCATGGTGAGGCTGCTATTCCGTCCCAAACCTGCAGAAGGGACAGGCGGTGAGGCACTGTCAGGCGTTGACGTGCGGCTAGCGCATGAATGAGTGTGCTACATTGACTCGCCCTGGCCTTCAAGGAAGATGTGCATGGAGGGCTGGGAGACGACCCGCGCACGGCAGTCACAATTGGGAAGGTGGAGCTCGCGTAATCGCTTGTGGCTGGCAAGCCTGGGTGTTCTCACAGATGGGTCCCGAGCAGGACCGGACCAAACAAGACAAGTCGAAGGCTGCGCAAGTTGCGAGACTCCACTATCTCAACTGCATGATCAATCCACTTCTGCGGCATGGGGGTTCATGCTGGCCGAACTCCGCCCGTTCATCCGAGAGGCATATCACCCAGCGACCGCAAAGCATCTTCAGAGAAGCTGTTCCAGCCGAGGCCCAGGACCTTCCACAACTGTGCACTTTGTGCATTCTCGAAAACTGCCCATCACTTCAAGGAACGCATTCGAAACAAAGGCTTCGTGTCCCGCTTCGAGCTAGCTATCCAGCTCCAGCCTCCAGTGCTGGTGCATTGAGGACATCCTCACAGGGCAAGGGGGTGGGGAGAAACTGAGTCAGCAAAGCTGGGGTACGGCAGATCACCAGAAATGGTTGCTTTCCGATAGAACTCCAGAAGGCACTGCTGCACGCTTTGCTCTAAGGCGTTGCAGATCTCAGTAGTCTATCTTTCGTTTGTGCTTTTATGGTACTCAAGAATTTGCACGCTTGTCTTGGGATGGTCCTGCAAGCAGCTCGCGGCTGCAGGATGGTGGCCAAGGCCCGTATCTTGAAGCCGGAGACCTTTAAGCCAGCTGACGGCACTAAAGAAGAGCAATGCAGATTTGGATGGCGAGAGTTCGGTCCAGCCGGGATGCATCTGATGGCCGGATGCAGATGCACAGCACTGCAGAGTGATGTCAATGTATTGCTTGAGATCTTGATGCCGCTGACGTCCAGGTGTCTCCTTGAAGGACAGGGAGAAGAGGCAAAGCAGCAGCCGCGGCAAAGATCTCTCACAGACTCAACGTAGATCGCCGAGAGTCAGCTTGAAGAGGCCACTGCTCTCCTGAGGACCCGGACAAAGAGAAGGCTCCGCTCTCCTGAGGCCCCCAAGGAGCCAAGGCGCCCCCAGCAAGCCAACGATGGTGGCCATCGCCCTCGGACCTTTCGACTGCGCTCGTGACGTCTAAAGACAGGTATGCAATGTATATGAGTGAACATCAGTGTATCCTGAGCCTGCAAACCTTCCTCACCTCAAGGCTGTAAGGCCTGTTTGCGACTTTGAAGCCCTTTTTGTACTGATTCAGAGTCTCGGCAGAGCTTCACATGAATTCAATGCCTAGCCTTGACAAGGCTGCGAGAGGGTTCGAAAACGAAGTCTCGGAGGCCGGAGGATGAAGGTTTTTTGCATGCGACGACAGAGCATTTTGCAATATGCCAAAATGCACTCCGTTCCGGTCAAGGACAACAACTTCGGCGACCAATCCTCCATGGCTTGATTTCTTGTGCCCCTCCGTTCGTGCTTTTACTGCACTCCTTGTTAGTGCTTTCGCTGCCCTCCGTACGCAAATTCCGACACTTAGCGTGTGTGCAAGGACCTTTCGGGAAGACTGTTTTTCCCGCTTCGCCCCATTGCGACGAAGCAAAGACACGCTAGTTGTTCTCGGGAGAGGCCTGCGCCGCGGCAGCGTGCAAGGTCCAGCTTCTCCAACGAATCCATCGCCTCAAACAGCCGGGGTGGCTTCTCCAACGCTTGTCTCTGATTCACAGCGAGTCACCGGTCGACCGAACAGCTTCTGCAAGAAGGTGTTGAGGACAGCGTCGCTGAGCCTCACAACGCTCCGGGCAGGAGCGATGCACCACGAGCAGAACAGTCTCTAAAGTGATTTATGCTTGCCAGAGCACTGGGTGCTTCCTGCCAGCCCCACCTCTTTGATTCGGTCCAAATAGCCTGACTTTGGCGACAAAGCTTCTCTTCTGTGTCGGCTACATACATGCATACAAAAGCGTATCTGCCAAACAGTGACGAATCATTGTCGACATGGCCAGCAACCTCGGATCCAAGTATCCAACACCTTTGCACCGATTCCATGGGTCGAGCCTTGTGCAGCCGGGTCGCTCATCATCTAACAAGAATTCGCTTCCGCTGCTGATGGCATGGCTGCGCACCATGTCCTGCAAGTGGAACTCGCTGCGCAATAATGGCGACAAGACACGCCCGAAATCTTCGGGCATGACACAAGACATTTGCCAATGCGGCAGTCCAGCACCGCAGCAGTCGGGACGACGCCGGTTGCGTTGCAAACCTGAGATTTCAGAGGGAAGCTTCGTGGGAGGCATCCGTCGCTCGTCTGAGCGCACGAGTGTGTCAGTGCACATCATCCTGCTGCCGGTGCACGCGGATGTAGTGCATCGTGGCAGAATCTTCCTCTGCTTCGGGCTCTCGCGTTCCAGTCTGCGTGCGGACCTGAGCTACACTTCCCAGACCACACATCACTGAAATGGATGCGAGGATGCCTCGGACTGCCAAGGCTGCATGAAGGGCTCTGCCACTGCCTGGACCAGGACCAGAGCGTGAAAGCTCCCTTTAGCTTCGATCTCTTAAAGGCGATCTGCCTCGAGAGAGAAGGGCGGCATTCTCAGCGCTGGCCGGGAGGCGAGGTCTGGGAGAGACCTCTGCAGAAGAGCACGTCGTGTCTCCGTTTTTTCCTTTCGGGACTACAGTCGGCTTGACAGTGCAAGCGACTGTGAACGTCTAAGTGCAAAGGTCTGCCCCGCTCAGAGAATGAAAACGGTGCTTTGGCGCGAACTGATTACTTTAGTCTCGGGATCTTGTGCTTGGCTTTGCAGTGCCAGCTCGAGCTTGAAGTACCGAAGCAGTTTCTTCTGTTGCACGAAATGCCAAAAGGAACGAAGTAAACCTGCAGGAAAACTGTGTTATCACACGGCACGGATGTCGGCAGTTCTGAACTTCATGCGAATGGGTGAGAGAGACAGGATGCCCTACTACGAGTGCTGAACCCGGTCCCGAGCCAGTAGATCGCAGAGCGTTGGGCGGGCTGACGGGTAGGGGAGGGTCGTTGGGCAGCTTGGCATGCACTCCCGCATTATACTGTACTAGTAAGTATGTCGTCGTATCTTCTCCATCCGCGCGCCTGGATACGCTCATAGCGGTCTCCTCTGACAACATTTCTGCATGGCATCAGTGAAAGTGGGCCTTTGTCACCAACTCTGTCCTCCAGCACGGGCGTCATGACACTCCGTCGGGGCTTGGCATCCGCATTTGGATTCCACCAGCTGGAGCCCGAAGAAGTCCTTGACATACTGAAACAGCTGCAACGCGGCGGCTGTGATTCTTACTGCTGCTGGTTTCTCTACTTGTATCTTAACAGCATGGTCACCGTTATCATCATTAGCATCCTCCTTACCACCATCACCATCACCATCATCAGCACCAACATGATGGCAAGCATGGAAACGGACATTGTCGTCTTCGCCATTTTCGTCGTCATCAACACCCGACCATCTTTACCATCAGCATCAGCATCATCGTCATCATCATCACCGCCATCATCACTCACCAACATCATCATCCAAGTGTTATTGCTAATATCATTCAACTTCTTCTTCATCACCACCACCATCACTATCACCATCACCATCATCATCACCATCACCATCATCATCAGCAGCATCATCATCAGCAGCAGCTCCGTCTTCGAGAAACTTCTGAACTCGCTACAAGTTGTTGGCCCCTCTCCCATCCTGGGATTCTGTCAACCTCGACGACAGCCCAGAACCCTCTGCAAAAGACCGCGATTGCCAGAAAACACCAGACGACGGCGGAAGCAACGAGACAGAGTGAGTTACTCTCTGAGACTCGAAGCGTCGAAATCCTGAAGCGATGATGAGACTCAGTTCTGCCGTCAGGGATCGTTGACCCCATCGTCTCGCCCATCCCACCTTTGCTCCCACCGTGCCTGGCACTTCACAGTCAGGTTGAGTAAAGAAAGATTTTGGAGAGATGCCTGCTGCGCTCACGACTCCCCAGCTGTGGCAGCGCCGGCACGGATCGGCTCTCTGGACGCAGGCCTGTTCAGAATTCAGCTCGTAGTCCCACGAGTCTGTCGGCCGTCAATCTCCCCACTTCTTGATTGCTCGCCTTTGGGACGCTTCGCTCGACGGGTGGGTTCAAGAAACCGACCAAGGTCAAAGTATCCTCGCTCCTGGAGAGCCGAGCAACAGGGGGATATGCTTTCACAAGGTAGGAAATCTAAATGTGGGCATGGCGGTCCTGACGAGTACCTGGGCGTGACTCCAAGTCGAAGTGATCCACCTCGCAACAGATGCGATCGTAAAAGGGGACCGAACTGCTTCTTCCCGCCACACTCATGACTCATGGCCTTAAAAGACCTCGCCGCAATAAACAGAGAGCACAGCACGTCTCCAAGCCCCGTCCGCTGAGCGCAATTTATTGTTCCTGCATAAGTCTCCTTTGTCACCCTCGAAGCCTCGGGAAGAGATGGCCGCCGCGGCTTGGACGACACCTCTCACGACGGCGTCTTCAATTAGATTCTTCGGGGAATTATCGGAAATCGGAAAGCTACCAGTACTGCAAGTGGTGGAGCTCACTTGCCTCGGTCACGGCCGGGAGGCGCTTTTGGTTGATGTCCCGCCGATGCTGAATGACCTGCAGAAGGCAACGGGTTGAGGCAGCTACAAAACGGAGGCTCGCAGAATCCCTGGGCAGCCAAGGGCTAAGGATGCGACTTTGCGCGCTGCCTGCGAGCGCTTCGAGTTGAGGGAGGCGTGGCCGTGGCTGGAATGCTCTGGCTCCTGAAGCAGAGAACGGCGCTGCAGAGCCTCACACTCCGTCCTCAAAGTATTTCCTAGCCGGTGAACGCAAAGTCACCAAAGACTTGGAAATCTTGGAAAGCGTAAAGAAATTCGACTAGCAAACTCACCCTTTGACCTAGCCTCTACTTTCCGAGCAAACCGGGGGAGCCCAGGCAGCGAAAAGCAGCCAACAAACCTGAAGAGAGCCTCAGCAAGCAGACCGCCGTGTTTCCACAATCCATGACTCGTGGCTTCGCTTTGCACCTGCCTGCTGTTGCCGCGTGTTGTTGCTTCGTGCTTCTCAATCTCGGATGTCAAACTCCACATATAACCCTCCACCCCCCCCCCGCACCGGGCCGTCCTGGTTGGCTCCGGGGTTTGCGACGAGCTTGGCATCGGGAAGCTGCCTGGCTCATCGCGAAAACTAGGCTACCCATTGCAAAGCATTCAACCCTCGTGCAATTCCCTCTAGGATGCATTGCCACGCCTGTTGTAGGCTGGTTTGAAGGTCTCCTTCTGTTCCTGCTTGCCCCTGACAATTTCACACGCGGTGAAATATCCGTGCAGTCATGAGCTCGACAAGGAGATAGTAGGGCATAGTCAAGCCGGGCGACGCAATGGAGGACGGAGCCGGAAGCATCCACTTGCTGTCTTCCTGTTCACGTGAAATATGGACGATGCACTTCGCTGAGCCGTTCCCATCCTTGTGGTAGATGCTCCAGAAGGCATGTGGCCCATTGTCGCCAGCACGGAACTGCCTGTGGAGCTTCGTGGTCAGCGCGGCCTCAGCCTCTCCTTGGCAGATCGACAAACAATCGAGAGCCCTCTACGAGCATTGTGAGGTCTAGCAAGCGAGGACCGCAGAGTCTAATGCTTCCTGGCATCGGCGATCCCGCAGAGCATGCCGGAAGGCCAACAACTCGCACTGTCGGTTCACAGCCTGCAGTCACAACTGAGACTTGCTGGGGCGCTCTGCGGAGGAGGCGGATGGCTTTTACTCTCAAAGCAGAGCAAGAGCCTGCCTCCTGAAGGCCACGGAGACGGCACACGACCAAATAAATCTCCTCAATACTGCTTCCACGCCCACACTTGCACGATCTTGCAAGCGCAGCCGCGAGGAGGTGGCAGAAAGCAGCGCCGACTGGAGCTGACTGCCCTAGTCTACCCTCAGCACTCAGGAGGTCAAATCGGCCAAGGGGCTTTAGCCTGTGCACGTGCACGCTCTCGTCCATCAACGGCATCCGCTAACTGCTCCTCCACAAAAATCATCTGTTACAGATTTACTCGGGGCTGCTGGCAGACCCATGCCTGTGCTAGCAAAAGCTCTGTCTCCTTCCAGAAGGTGTTCACATTGTTCCGGAGCCGCTCGCAGGTGTACTCGAAACATGCGATCTGCCTGCAACTCCCACGGCAAACCCAGGCTCGGGCACAGCCAAATGGGGCCTGGCCCGGCGCCAGAAGGAACGGTCGGCGAAGATGCCTTGCCGCCTCATCTCACGAGGACAAAAATTGTTTCCGATGTCCGCCGATTTCTGCCTTCGATCCTTCCGATCACTGGGGGAGGTCGGCGATGCGTCCTGTGCCGGGTCTACGAGTCTACACATCAGATCTTGTTTGACCTCATGTGGAGCCCGAAGCATTGCGAAATGGCCCCTGCCTTCGCAGCATCATCCTCGCTTCCCGAAGAATCCTTGGCACTCATGCAACGGGATGCGACGGGCTTACAAGAATCTCTCCCAGAGGAATGTTCTATGCTTCGCTGCCCGTCAACACTTTGTTAACCCACTGCGCCAAGCATCAATTAAGCAGCGATTGGAATCGTCGCCGAGCAGTCTGCCTTGAGGCTACAGGGGAGTGACAGGCTTAGACGGGCTTGACATGTCTTGACACCTGCTTCCTCATCTCTGCGCAAGAAATCCTGCAGCCAAGACGAAGCTCAGCCAGCAAGCGCACGTCTGACAGCGTCTGACAGAAGCCATCAGAGCAAGTCCTGAACCAAGCCTCCCGTCCTTACCTGGCAGGACGACACAGAGTGCGAAACAAGCCGTGGCTGGCAAAAGCGGCAAACGGCCTTCAGCGCTGTCTCCGTCCCACTCACGATCACCTTCAAGGGCTTAGGCTCAGAGTACTTTCTGGGTAGTAAAGAAACCCTATAATAGGCCCTAAAGCGAGGAGGTTTTCGATTGAAGCTCTCGGAGCCGCCTGACGCAGGGCCAGGGAGGCCCGCCGCCGGAGCACCACAGCAGGAGCCGCAGGCGGAGGCTCCGAGCCGCCACCTCTCCGTGCAAAGACCCTAGGTGACGAGAGACCCGGACTCGGAGATCTCGGAGCAGCACCACTTGCTGCTTTGGCCAGCGCTTTCTTTTTCTTTTCTGCCTGGCCGGAGAAACATCATTCGATCGACAACCATGCTGACGCATGAAGGCTGCTGATTCTGCAGATTTATCTGGCATGTGTCAACATGTCCCAATGCCGCGTACAGACTCGAAGGCCTCCAGACGGCGCTCAAGGCGCTCTGAACTTCCTGGCGTCCGCGGCTTCATATCCCCGACGCACGGGGAAGGTGCAGCCCTCACCGCATCGCTGCAGGCCAGGTATGCTCGTGCCGGAAGCTGGAGGATCTCACGATCGGGGACAAGCCTAGCGTGTTCATACTTGCATGGCCGCCAACCTGTGTGTTATCGAACCATGATGGTCATGGGTGCTGTCTTGCTGAAAAGCTTCACGTTACCACCTATTCATGCTGCAGATAGACCAAACGAAGCACCACATAGATGCTCGGACTGAAAGATCTGAAACAACTCTGCATTCTGCTACTAGGGTCCAGAGCCCAAACTTGCATGATAAACCACAACCAGGCCGGATTCAAGCAAGATGCTCGCAGCAAGTCATGAGCTCCGCATTTTGCGTCCGCAAGGCGATCATCTGCGCGCTGACAAACTCGTCGAAGGGCAGCCTCCACCTCAATGCGCCTTTTGCACTCGGAAAAGACCTCCTGGTCGCTGTCCCTTTCAAGGGAACACAGTGCTGAACACCGCCCAATCTTGAGCTCTACTTTGCAACACAGGTCGGAGACTTGTCTGAACTTCTTCACTTGCCCTCCTTGGCGCATCATTCGCCGACCCGTCCAAAGGCAGCAACGTGGCTGGACTTCACCTGTGGTTAAGTCGCCAGGCCAGGCATTCAAATGTACTGACAAAAAACAACGAAGCAGTCCTACTGACCTACTGGTACCAGTATAGTCCAGAGCACAAGGAAACGAAAGATAAGGCATGCATGGCAAGCCTCGGCCAGCAAGCGGAGCTCTGTCTCGAAGCCCTGTGCCGATCCGGTATCAACTTCGCTGGCTTCAAAAAGCCCGCCAGTGTATTGGCCTGGCGAACCGCAGCTTGCTCGGCAGGTCCGGCACGCTCTAGCGCCGCCCGCTGCCACCTGGCACCGAAATAGGTTTTGCCCAGACAAAATTGCATAATCCTTCCGTGCCTGCACAGCAGCTCTCTGCCGCATCGAAGTGCATTTTGGACTTCTCCTGTCAGCAGGTGAACCTCAGCTATGCTTGTGCCCTAAAAGCACTTCAGTTTCCAGAGAGGTTCGTCAAAGAGCTGACAGCGCTCTTCCGGGCTTCCAGCAGAAAGCTGCACGGGCACACCTCCAAGGAGTGTCCTCGCAGATCACGAGAGCCAGTGAATATGCCCTCTGTGTGGGCCCAGCTCAGCTTTGTCCTCAATTCCCAATTGCTGAGAGCGGCACATCATCGTCAGAGTGGCACGAAGTTGGCTCGCAAGGTGCGTAGCACAGCGGACCACACCCAGGTGAATCTCACGGCTACGCAGGCTGTGCAAGGCTCGCTGCAGCGACGTGAACTGACATGAATGCCATGTTCCCGGCCGCGGGACTCCAGTAGAGCAGCCGCAAGTTGCCCTGCAACGAGCACTGCTGCACAAACCCTGTAGACAGGTCAAAAAACATCAGACACTTCATCTGCTCCTGACCCTCAGCCAATACGCCCCAGTTGGAAACAAAGGCCTGCAGAAGTCAGGAGCCCCACAAAGATGAAAATGTGCAGCAGTTGAGATGCCTCCTTAATCTCCGAGGCCAGCTCCTCAACAGGGGCTGCCTGGGCACAGCTAACACCTGTCGGCGTTCCAGTCCCTACTAGTCAGGTACAGTGCTGGGGCACCGAACCCGCGAGGGCTTCGAGGCGTAAAGGACCTCGAAAAGCAGATACCTGAAAAGGCCGGGACCAGGACGAGGCCACAGCATACTCACAATGCTTCCAGCTTGCTGCCCACCTCCTCTTCTGCGCGACCATGGCTCATGTGCCCGAGAAGCATGCCGCCATGGCTCGCGTCAAGGCGAGGGAAGCTTACTGGTCTTACTGGTCACTCTGAAGAATCAGGATCCCTTTCGAACTCTTGAAAGTGACTTGGCCCACACGTTGCTGCGGCCCATGCGAAGCAAAGTGACGAAGTGGGCAAGTTGGCAGAACTGCAAAGAATGTCCAACTACTGCCACCAGATCACCACCTGGCACTCCAAAGCAAGAGATAAGGTACCGAAGCGCTTCATGACGCAGTAGACAGTCTCCGGGACGTACTCCATGACCTGAGAACAGCCCTCCTTCACTGTGCGTGTGGAAATTTCCATCTCAGGACCTGGCCATGTTCAGGTACAGCTCGTCTGGAGAGTCGCCGGAGGTGTAGAAGGCATGCTGACCGTTGGAAGGATGATGCAAAGGACATCATGCAAAAGGGGATGAAATGAACACTCTAATGATTCGGAGTCAGAACCGACCTTCAGGGTGACGATGTTTGGATGGTGCATTTCGCGCCAAACCTGAAGACACTGAAGCTGTGGTCGACAGAAAGCGCCTGTGCGATCAACAGCTGTCTTCGAACGTAGAACCAAGCACTGCACCTGCAGCTCTCGATTCCTGTACCTTCGGTCGACGAAGACCTGGTACAGTGCTGGAGGCATGCGACGAGCTGAGTGCCAAAAAGTCAGAAAATCAGGTTCAGGCCTTCTTGATGGCGACTGTCTCGTTGGTCTCCACGATATGAGCGGAGTACCTACAAGAGTCAAGAGTCCTGTCCCTCCCCACCTTTGCACAGATTTGTCCATTCGAGTGCCGCAGAGACTCCCCGGAGGGCACACGATGCCAAAGGTTCCGTTGCCAATCACCCGCTCCGCGTTGTAGGTGCACTGTCGGTTGGAGTCGGTTCCGGTTCCGTGCGTGGCACATCTTACGGGCCTGCTGCTCTCCCTCGTCGTTATCATCGGGCCTCAAAACGCCAGAACTCGGTGAGAGCCGAGTCGGTACATCGAAAAGAAAACAAGCCAGAAACGGCATGCGGGATCAACCGAGTCGCACAATGCTAGACCGTAAACCTCCAAAACCATAGACCCCTAAACCCTACTACAGACCCAAAAAACCCAAAGCCATCCAAAAGCCTCTAAACCCCCCAAAGGAGAGCCCCTGTGGATCCTTCTCCGTGCCATCTTCACACAACAGATTGGCTGTCTTGTCAACGGGGCCCGGAACTGGTTTCGGACTGAGGCAGGTTTGAAGGGCCAATTTCTGATTCGAGCGCGACTTGCGTCAAGAGTCGAGCACCGTTGCTGCCAAATCTGGTGAGGCCTCTGGAGAGGGCAGAATTCCGAGAGGACGATCCTGCAGACTGCGGCTTGTCAAGGCCCACTTCGGCTTCTCTGCCCGTGTCGGGGCTCAGCCATGACCCGTTGAGCGCTCTTCCAAGAAGAGCGCCTAAGGTAGGAACCTGATTAAGAAACCCTGGGCCTATAAGCCCAAAATAGTAGGACCCTGATAAAGGCCCAAGGTTCTTAATCAGGTTCTTACATTACAGTACTGCATTTTGACAACTCTGCTCTGTGCACAACATGCTGCACAGAGATGTCGAAGTGTCGATGGTGAGCTGAAACGACTCGTGAGTCGTGCTCCTGAAGTGAAGGTCAGGCATGCGAAGCGAGGCGCAGACTTCTGTTGTGATGGCTCCTGTGCAGCAGAAAAATTTTGGAGGGTGCAACAACTTCAGCCAACTGCAACAACAAAGCAAGCAGCCAGTCAGCCAGTCAAGCTCCACAGCTCGTCCGACATGCTTTTCCTTTTCCACAGCTGCATCTGCAACAGGGTCACGTTGGTCGCTCAACCGCGGGTGCGGGTACTGTGGCTTTACGGGAACCCCACGCATCTCGCGTACAACGGCATCATCAAAGCTGCGGGCATGGTTAGCAATCACCTAGGGACCCGGACTTGTCACTACGAACAGACGGAGAAGAGATGGGCGTCAAGATCAGCAGCCAACACTTCTTTGTGAAGGTATGGGCGGAGGCCGATTTAAAGCTTCCGGAGGGCATCGAATTTGGTGCATAGGGTGCAGCGGCGGGGGTGTGGCAACTTCCATGAGGTTATGAGAATCGGAAGGGACCCTCCCCCACCATTCTGCCAAATGTGCGCTGCGAAGATGGCCATGCGTTGTGTATCAGACTGAAATATCGACATGATGCAGGTCGTAGATTGCATGGCAAGGCCTTGAAGAATCCACCTGGAAATCTGCTGATGCAGGCTGTCAGACCGATCTCACCTACCCAGGGCAAACCAGTCTCTTGCTGATTGCGTCCCGGGCTGAGTCTGGGAGTCTCTGCAGCAGAGAGCATAAAACATCCCGTTGCAGCTTTCGTTTGACTCTGCAGAGTCGCCCAAGGCTAGGGCTTAGGGCGCATTTAGGCCAGCAACTGCTCTGCTGACCGGCTGCGCCAGATGTCGGCCTCACCCGGAAACCTTCTGTTGGCCCCGTCGTCGACATGAAAACTAAGGACAAATTTGTGCGCCTTGAATTCGTCATGGCAGTTCGAGACAGGCCCCGCTCCCTGGCAGCCTCTCCTACGAGGAACGGCAAGGCCTGCCGTTTGACGAAGCACAAACTGCCACACAGCTGTACCATTCTCGGCAGCGGATGGAGACAGCAAAGTTCCTATACAGAGTCCCTGACTCCCTAGAGCATTAGTGCTCACCGGCCAATGCAACAGCGCAAACGATCCCGCAAACGATCAGAATCCTTGCCTGAGAGTGCCATCTAGCAACCGATCAGACACTGCACCTGCCGGCAAGCATTCCATACAATCCTTCAAAAGGCTGGGCAAAGCCTCGCAGGAAATGTGCCAGGCTCATGACATGACGAAATAATTCGGAAGCTAATAATATGAAACTTCCTGCAAGCGCATTTTTTCATTGCAACTGTGAAACCTGAGCAACTAGTGATCCAGCAAGGTCTAGCTGCCTGCGAGCTCGGCAGATTCGTCAACACACATCTCATGTTCAGCACATTTAGTAGATCTCGAAAACTGCACGCGTGGCACTGTAACGCTGCAACAATCAGCTTCTGTGGGCGAGCTCGTCTTGCTTCCCCTAGGCACATCACTAGCCACCACCACATCCGGAAAACAGGCAGCAACGTCGGCGCTGCACCACCTGTTCACGAGCCGCGGCGGTGGTCGGGGGGGACAACAAAACAGGACGAAGCACATTGCACATCCCTGCAGTCACCTTCGACGTTGGCCCAATAGTCCCTGCCTCGACCTCTTGCAGCTTCGAGCGGCGGTCGCGAATTCCGCGGGGCTCGTCCAAAGCTGCCTGATGATCCATCAGGAATCCGGAATGCACAAGACTGAGCCAGAGCTTCGCAGTCCAGCAATTCCGGCAGAAGAATTGCCTCATCAGCATTGCTGAGGCTATCCTGCTCAAAGCAGAACTTGCAGCAACTTAGAGTATTTGGAACACGACTCCAAAAAGAGCCTAAGACTTTAAGAGCCCTCTGCAGGGGATCCTTGGTGCTTTCATCGGAGACCACCGCAGCCTCAGGATGCCGCAGCTCCTGCGAGCAGCTTTGAGTCACCCCCACAGATCATGCTGTAGAGACCGCAACATGCTGCAACGTAATTAAAGAACCATGCTCTTGCCACCAAAACCACCTGGTCAGGCGAGGCAGTCCTCATCCATCGAATTCGTGATTAGCACCTCCCGCGGTGTCCGCTCGTCGTCGTGGACTCCCTCACGGCGCTTGCCTTCCAGACATGTCACATCACTCGAAGTTGCCTGGTCGACATACTGACATGCGCGTCCCATCGATCTCTAGCAACAGCAATTCGCAGCCATGAAGAGCATGCACCTTCTTTCGGCTTTAGCCGTGTTGGCATATTCTCCATGCGCAGGCCTCCTGACGGTGTTGGCGCACTGGGGGCGATCTCGGCAGGCACCTCATTGTCACGTACGACTCATGCTGTGCCCAGCAGGTCCAAGACGCTGTGAACCCATTCAGCATACTGTCTCTTGCTGAGATTTGCTGAGAGAGTGGGGCCGAAGGCACAACATGACTCGTGCTCTGCGTCTCAGTACACATGTGCGAATATGTGCAGTGTACTGCTAACGAACTGCATCAGTGCAGCACCTACGTGCGCAGAGGACTTTTCTAGCAGTATTGACTCCAAGGTCCTCTGCTTCCGAACTTAGCTTTCGTCCTTGTGCGTCCGGGCTCGCTCCCTGCTGGATCTGGTTCGGTGTGCGACATGAGTTGATCAACTGAGAAGGCCGCCGGAAACTGGCGGCGTTTCGAGCCGATTTGTGTATTGTTAAGCTCAACAGGATTTGATCTACCTGGAGAGTCTTCGTTCGATCTCTTTCTTTTACTGGTCCCTCTTTTTCTTGGTGTTCTCGGCGAGCCCTGTAACACTTCTGACCCATCTTCTCTGCATCTCCTGTCAGCAGGAAAACGTCTGATCGCGTGCATACTTGACAATGAAGAGCTGTGATTGTCTTTGTTTACATAGTCCTGGGAAGCTCTCATGCCTTGAAATTCTACTGCGAAAGGAAGACTTCTAATTCTTGTACGTTTTCACAAGAAAGCCTCTTGTGGCTTTGAGTTTAAAACAACCTCGTGCTCGTGAGAGACTCTCCACTACTTTCGTGGTAGTAGTAGTCGTCGTCGTCATAATCGTTGTCGTGGTCGTATTCGTAGTCGTAGCAGTAGCAGCAGCAGCGGTGGCGATCGATCTCCTATCTTAAAGCGGCCTTCATCAAACTCGCCCCCTATCAAGCGACTAGGCCATGGCGGTGGATCCCATATCTCGCCATGACACTTCATCCCACTTCTGGAACTTACTGCTTCCTTAAGCGATGGCCGTGGATCCCTTCTTACAGTGTAGCAGACCAGGGGACCAGAGAGGACAAACAAGGGACCGGGAGCCGGCAAAGCCTCTGAAAAAGGGGATGCAGACAAAACTTAAAACAAAAAAAACAAAAACGGCGGGGGCCCTTTCCTAACAAATGATGCTTAGGCTCGAGCAGGTAGGCCACACTTGCGAAAGATGTCTGCTGCGCAATCGGAGAATTCCAGCCTTCGGCTGCAACATGCAGGTGTCGGCCGGATCTCCGGAGTTCCACTCCTCACTCCTTGCCTCTGGTTTTCCTCGGGCTTCACCCGCCAGTTCCAGAGCCGTCCCCTGGAGCCCTCTACGGTGAGCACCTTGTGAACTCCTCAAGACGAAGCGGATGAGCGGAGAAAGCTTCCGAAACCTTTCGAAGCCAGCCGGTCCTGGGACGGCTTCTTGGAAGCACCTCGGACATCGTGAGACACTTCTGATACAAGCGCTTCAACGACGGGAAGCAGCATCTAAGGACTCGGGTCTGAGCCTCGGTGATGGAGGCATGTTGGGCTCGAACGGGCCCGGAAGGAGAGGGAAAGGGAAGAACTCCTGTGCCAAGGCCGCAACGCACCGTAACAGCCGTAGCAGTAAGGGCAGGAAACGGAATCCCAAGTGGCCTTCAACAGCGGCCGTGACCCGCCGAGGTCTTCCTCGATCTGCCTGCGTCGCGACTTGCGAATCCTACCAAAGCCCACTCATGATCTCAGACAACAAAATGTCGAGCTGGCTGGCATCCAGACGGCTTGGCAGCAGGCCTCTCCGCCATATCCTTCGTGATGTCCTCTGGCCTGCGGAACGAGTGTAGTAGCCTTACCTGGATAGCGTAATACGTCCTCCGAGCCTGCAAACGAAGACCAATTTTTGTCGCTGGCGCTCGGTGAGCACCTCCAGACTATTACCAAGCAAAAAGTGACCGGGCCGAAGGCTACAGTAAGCTGCTTAGAAAGTTTGCCTGCCTTCTTCGCAAGCGGGACCAAGGTTCCCAAAATCCGAGGCCTGCAATCCAAGGGGACTTGCGAGGCGAAACCAGGGAGCTCTCAGACTCTCTGCACATTCAGCGCGGCACATGTTGCAGATGTAGAACCGGAAAATGCGACCTGGCACACGAACTTTTGGCCCTGCTTCAAGAGAGATGCTCCGGCCGGCGCACCGACATAGTACATTCCCATGCTCCTGGCATCTGCAGCGACGCTTACGTAGCATACGTAGCACTGCTGTCAACTCTGTCGCTGACAAGTCATGCACGAGGCCTATGGACTTCTCGAAGCACTCCAATAGGAATCTGGGAGAGGGACAAGTCCTGGAATTCAATCGGGAAGGGAGGCAGAAAATTGCGAGCTTTGGGGCCATTCCATGTCAGCCCACTGCCAAGGGTTTGCTGACTGGGCTCTCCTTCAGATCTATGACCACGTTTAGGCTCTCGATCTTCCCCGGGACCTCATCTTTCTTTCTCATCGAACCACAGACAGCTTTCGGCAAGCGGATCCCAAGCCCATGGCTGCCATATACCGAAGGAAATACCTGACACATTAGCCGGCTGCATGGAGGACACGCGAGCGCCGGACAAGCCAAGATCCCAACTCCATGCAAAAGACCAGGACCTCAGGCGAGCAGAATCAGAGATTCCTGAAAAACGAGAGAATCGACAAGATGCTGAGGTCAAGGCTCTAATGACGAGATCGTAGCGCCTCTCTCTATGCCTGAGTCTGCACAGTCTTGGAAGCAAATCATGCTGTAGCATGGTGTAGCTTCTCGAAGGAGCTGGGGAAGTGCACTTCAAGGCCCTCACCACGCAGCTGGTATGCGCGCGGCCCGAAAAACGAGCACTGGACGAAGGGCCTCAGTGCGTCAGCAGCATGCAAGGGGCCACGGCAGAGCTCCAACTGGCAGTCCTTGTCTCGGCCCGTGAAGTACGCCAGACCTAGCTTGAGGTCCTCAAGGCACAAGAAAAAAGGCAGCCTGAAAGACTAGACTCCGCAGATGCCGGAACGGCAGGACTGATGACTGCCGTGCCTCTGCCATGTCCGCATCAGAGAGCGGCCTCGGAAGCCAAGAGCTCCAAAGCGAACGAGAAGCCTGGGGCCTAAAGAATCAGAGTCAGAGAGTCAGAACTGAGATCTGAAGCCGAGTGAAGAAGGAGCTGCGCCACTCGGTGGTGGCCTTGCGGGTTGGATCTTTCAGAGCTCAGGCACGCGAACAAGGGGGCTAATCCGCCGAGGCCAGAGGTCCAGGCGTCTTGGTGGTTACCTCAGGTACCCTCCACCTAATCCTCCTCCCTGCAGCTCGAATGATTGGTGACACCCGCTTTTTGCGTTCGTTTGCCACCCCCTTGCCCGGCTTCCCCTCATTTTACATGATTTGTCGGCCTCCCCCAGGCCTCCCCCCCCCCTCTCCTCCCCCCTCCCCCCCCCCCCCCCCCTCCCCCCCCTCCCCCCTCCCCCCCCCTCCACCCCCCTTGTACCCGTTCTCCTCGCACTTCGTATCAACAACCGTGTAAAGGTTGGGGTTTGACAGGCCGCCCTAGCATAAAAAAACATCGACTGCCCCCTCGCCCTGCCGCTACACAGCCGAGGCGGGCGGCGTAGCGTTAAAATTATGCTTCCCTTGCCTCCATCATCTTCAGCGCCTTCTTGGGGTCTCCGTGAGAATGGCCTCGATTGCACGCCGAAACCACAGGTGCGGAGAAGTAGCATGCGCACTGAGGCACAGGCTAAGATACCGTGTAGCGGAGGCCTGAGTAAGAAAACAGGCTGCAGCCGCGTAGCTCCGTGACGAAACCAAGTGCTGCACCACACACATACGATAATGGTGTTGGTGTGCAGACCGCTATAACATGTGCCAACACATGTGAAAGGCCAATAAGCTCCCAACAGATATGGAAACAGGGAGTGCCACACGATGAGCCCGTGCTTCTTCCTGGCTCCACTTCTCCGCTCAATCACAAAGCAAAGACTGCACCGCTCCGTCCATTCGACGCAGTGGCAGTGCACTGCAAAGAACATTCTGATGGAGCCCAGGTTATGCAAGAGTGAGCGGGATCCTTACCTACTCGACTCACACTCGGCTTATTGATGCTTCAACCCGATGCTCCCGCTCCGTGCCTGTAGAAGACGCAGCGCCTCTCAAGAAGCTAAGTGAAACTAGGAGCTTTCGCATGCAGCTGGATCTTACGAACAAGAACGGGTTCCGTAACGGTCTGCCTCCAACTCGTCATGATTCAACTCAATGTTGCAGTGCAGCTTCCTGCGCACGAATCCAGGCCGTCGCACGACACATTGCTGAAGTTGCCCCTGGAGCATCCATTCGACACACTAGCTGGTAGTTCTGGAAATGTGCAAACCGCACTAAAGCAAAGACACTTGTGACAGGCTTGCGCACTTCCGGGTTGCCTCTCGCAGTCACCATTTGCAAATCGTGCGAACACGGCTTGATCGTCAGGCTGAAAGGACAGCACCTCCTTCGGGGGAGTGCTGCTCAATCGAAGCCATGTCAGCACCTTCTGTCTGTCACTGCCTGCGGTAACGAGAAAGCTGCCACATTGTGTTCCTGACAAAGCGTTGGTCGCAGGCGGGGTGTGTTTACCACCTTCCTGATGCTGGTCATGATCCCGCCTCTATCTCGATCGAGCTGTTTTCAGGAAGAACGCGGAATCCATTCCTCATCATCAGGAAGTGTGCACGGTTAACCAGACCATCCTCGCCAAACTTCACCGACTTATGATGTGTCCTATAGCTCAGGATTCCTTCACAAATTTGACAAGTCGCAGTAAACCTCACCCCTAATTTCGTTCCGCTAAGCGCCCCGCGCAACCGCAGCCGGGTCGGCTAAGAGGTCATCGCGTGGTACCTCCCAAGTTGTGAATGCATAGGCAGCTCTTGAGCTCTTCCTCAACACTGCGAGCAGCTGCTTGGTTAATGATCATTGATGCAGCACAGCCTGCGCTCGGCTGTGGCTTGAGGTGGTCGATGGCCTTGTGTGGCGTCGCAAAGACTTTCGTCAAAAAGCCACTCCCAGCTTGGGTACCCGACTATGCCTATTGGAGTGGCTCTTTCTGTTCGACAGGTCTGTCACTACGGGAGGAGCAATCTCCATCCATAGATGTGGCCTGATCAGAACCAGTGCGGGACGCAAAGGAAAAGGCCAGGGTCTAGGCAGTTTCTCAACCCTACACTTGGGTGACTTTGATTTGAACTCGGCTACGAATGAAAATTGTAAAGAGCACGGCATCTCGTGGCTGACATTGAGATGTGTGGGCCGGCGACATGAGAATGCAAGGTCTACGCAGCTAGGACCTATTATAAGTCGACATCTCAACAGTATGAATTCATTTATCCAAGCCACCACGGGGGAAAATGGCGCATTGCTGCTGCAACAGCCATGTCGGATTGTTCACGCAATGTCTGCTTAGCTTACATGGCAGCCTGGTGTAGGCATTGAAACATGAGCTTTCTGCTGACTCAGTGTTCCTTGGCTCTGAAATGGCAGCTGTGTTCGCTTTGTCCAGGCCCAGAACTGTACTCTGCTTTTGCTTGGTGGGCCAGCTACTTGCTGCTTGAACCTGCGGATCATGGCCACCGGCATTCGCAGCTGTGCTACACGGCTACACTTTGCCCCGGCAGCATTTGATTGGTGATTCTGGGTCGGTCATAGCTCCTCGTCCACCACAGCAGGCATGGTGTTGACTGGTGCCTTGGGCATTGACATTTGCGACTGTGTGCTGAGTCAAGTGCCGAGTTGATAGCTGCACATACGCACCTCTGGCACCGACGACCGTGACCGGCGCTGTTCGCCAACATACCTGAGAGCTATCAACCTTCTGCTGATGGTGCAGTTCGTGTGCTCCTTGCCGTCGTTACAACGTCTTATGAGCTGCACATGCGTCTGAGATGTGGACAACGGTCCACTTGCAGGCCTGAATGCATGCCGAAATGCTCGGCAGATTTCTTGCTTAAGAAAGCAAGAAGCAAAAACTCAGGCATGTTGATGAAAGAAAGATGCCTTGCCAGCGGTCGCATTGTGGCAGCCATGGCTGCAGCCATGCTTCCGGTAGCTGACTAAACCTTGTAGAAAGTTGTTCCATCCTGCTTTGCGACCAAGATCGCAGTGCGTCCACCAGTTAGCAAGACACACCTCTGCATTCCGTGTGGGCTTCAGGAAGAAGATGCCATGAAGCATGACTATTCCTGCAGGGTCAATACTTCAACCTTCTCAAATAACAGCAGCTGCGGCTTGACGAATTGAGAGTGTCGAAAAGAAGCCATACCGGCACCTAGCCTTATCACCAACCGCACCAACCTAGTCTGCGCGAGATCCAGGCCTGGAGCAGCACAGGAAACCTTCTTGCAACAAACGGTCCAGACTTGTCTAGCTGCCCTATCAAGGTACTATGAACGTGACCTTGCATTCAGGATCTGCGCAGGCGTAAGCCTTGGTCAGCCATGCTCAGCCACCACGCACGCTTTGCTTGCAGGTTTGATTGCCACGAACCTCTAAGGTCGAGCTGTTGCCTTCGGCAACTGCTTAGTCGCAGCGCAGTTCTTTGCAACGTTGCAGACATGTCAATGTAGATCCGTAGCAATCCAGTCGAAAGCACTGGGACACTTCCTCGTATCGGTCAGCCGGTCAAACTGACTACGGAATCCCAGGCTTTCTATGCCTCGACTCAGACAAGGGGAGCTAAAAAGCAAATCGCAATTCGTCGAAATGGACTCCTACTCAAGCAGCTTTTGGCAAGATGGGTGGATTTACCAGGGGTCTCTGAAACTTCTGTAAAATCGGCAGAGCTTGCTCCGGCACGGTGTAGTTGTATTGTCCGATTCCTGGATGGGGAGCATAGGCATAGACAGTAGCTCGCATGTGAGCCACTGACGTTGACAACAGGAGAGAGCCCTTTCCTACTGGCAGGTCGTTTTGTTCTGTTGTCCCTATCTGCGTATGGCAAGCTTGATGGACGTGGAACATCAAGTGAGATCCTTCATCCCTCGTGCCTTGTGGATAGCGGAATTTTTTTCTTCCAGCATGAGCCTCCAATGCAGAGACTGCAGACCAGCCAGTTACCTCGACGAGGTTCCCGGCCTGAGGCACCTGAGGCACTTCTCCTCGCTTCTTGCGCAAGGCGAAGGCCTGGTGCAAGGCCGCGGAGGCTCTCGTGCCTAAACAAAGCAGACAGACTTTCTGAGAACGGTCGAGTTGAGCCTTCATGGACTTGAAAAGATCGTCCGCTGAAGCCTGCAACCGGCAGCTTGAGGCTTAAGGCGGAGGAGTGCTGTATAGATGTGCATACACCCATGCACACACGGTATCAAAGAAGCCAAAGATGAGTTGCCCGGTTTGCAACGCCTCCGGGTTCAGGGTGTCGAACATGCCGCTGGGCAACGTTGCCGCACGAACCAGAGCCTCAGCAGGAGCGGCACATGCCTTTCCCTGATCAGTGGCAGCGGCCTCCCTTGGTCAGCAACCCGATCTTTCAGCGTGAGCCCGTGTTCTCGCGGCCTAGGCGGGGAAACAACTTGCAATGAGGTCTGCTGAAGTTCTCTCAAGTAGCTTCAATCTCGAGCATCTCAAGCATCTCAAGCCCCAAGCCCACGAAGGCGAGGAGAGCCCTGGAGGCGACTTTCATGGAGGCGCTGCAGGACGAAGCTCCTGTCGCAAAGAAAGCTTTGTGACCGATGGAACCGTGCGCATCAAACGCACCACTGCTGCAGTGCACGACGCCGGCTCGAAACGCAGTTAAGTCGTCGGATAGTCTTGCGGGCAAATAGGCACAAGGGCAACAGTTGTCCAAGCACCATCCAAGTAAAACCAAAAACAGCATCTGAGTGCAGTTAAACGATTGCACACCAACGTTGCGACAAGCTCTTCTGACTTCCACCCTTGGACCATTGCCAAAAAAGGCATGGGATCATGTGCTGGTCTGGATGCACTTTGCGTAGCTGCCCATTGTAGGCACATGCAGTGAAATCTGTGCTTGGCAGGCTCGATGTCCTGTTGACGCGGGAAGCACATCGACTGGTGTCCCACTGATTTCCGAGTCCTTGCCACACACAGTTTGATGATTCCATAACCATGTTCAGAACGTCTCTCGTGCATGCAGTGCGAAGCGAAGAGGGATGATGTGCAGACACTGAGGGTGCCCCTGAGTGCCGAACCTTGCTCGCTGGCGACCCGACCGAGATTAAATTCGGGATGTTGTGTAATGATGAAGTCGGACCGCGTACCTGGCATCGCGAAGCCATGAGACTATGAAGGCCCACTCTGGCCATCCAACCTGTTGTAAAAGCTGTCTTGCACTGATGCCTTCAGACGCATGACACACTGGTTGAGCCTGCAAACATGCCGAAATGGTTGCCACCGCAACCTCTAAGACTGTACATTGCTCTGTCCTGGTCAGTATGTGCGCACTCCGACATTCAAAAAAATCTTGGCCGAGGGAGGTTGCTCTTGTTGGAAGACATCTGAGATTGGAGTCCTTTTCGCAGCTTCTGGCACGAAACGTTACACTCGAGCATGTACCAATCTACACTCCTTGAGCTGAAGATTCCAGTTCGGCAAGCATGGTTCGTTCAAGCCTCACCCCTAAAGATGCTCCAGAATGTGTGGCCCACTCACTCAGGAAAGCCGGCTCTGGGCAACCAAAGCCGGAGTGGTCTGTTTGATGCGAGCTTCTGTCCGCATAGCATACGGGTCTGGCCAGCACGGCCAAGCTGTTGCCCAAATGGACAAAGCTAGAGACGTAAACGCGAATAGGCCACTGTGCAGCGGGCTTTAGCTGAAGTAAAGGCAAGCACAAGTTAGGGCAAGTAGGGAAATGGATTTGACATGTGACTCGGAGCCTATACATTGCCATGAAATTCAAGGCCCGAACTATTCTGACCTGATCCACAAGTTATCACGAATTCTGTCAAATGCATGCAGGTGTTGGCGAGCAGCGTCGTCGCCGGGTCAGCGTTGGTAGCCCGGACGTACACAGCTTGCCCATTAAGCAAATGCATAGACCCGGACTTAGCCGGACACACACAGCGGGAGGAAGTTGAGGAATCCTGTGAAATCCTAAAAAAGGATGTTGAGTACTTGGCTTTGGCTTTAACGATGGCTAGCGCAGACTATTGGATTCAGGCTCAAGATCCCAGCATTCCTTTCCCGCTTTGGACTCGCCACGGAGGCTGCTAGACTTGGCCCCGTGGAGACTTCGCAAAGGATCATAGAATCATAGGCTTCCAGCAGCCAGCTTGGCAAAGTTGCCGTCGCGTTCGATGAGCTCATCGTAAGTGCCCGATTCGGCGAGCCGGCCGTTGGATATCACAAAAACTTTGTCTGAATTCCGAATCGTGGAAAGTCGGTGTGCCACCGTGATGGTGGTCCTGCCCAACCTTGCCTCCTGCATGGCCCGTTGTACGACCTGTTCAGACACGGAGTCCAAAGCGGAGGTCGCCTCATCCAGGAGCATGACTTCGGGCTTCCGGATCAAGGCCCTCGCCAAAGCACAGCGCTGCTTCTGTCCACCCGAGAGCTTTTCCCCGCGAAGGCCCATGCGATCACTCCACTTCACCGCACCAGATAAGACGTAGTCCATGTGCGCCGCCTCCGCTGCTTCGAGTAACTCCGCAGCTGTGGCCTCGGGGTAGCCATACTTCACGTTCTCTTCCAGGGACAAGTCGAAGAGCACAGGATCCTGGCTAACCATGCCGACCTGCCGACGCCACCAAGCCACATTCAGGTCCTGCCAAAGTTCAGCGACTCTGTGCTTCTTAGCTTCTGTGGGCCTATTGCTTTGGCCCTCCGGGGGGTCCTTCAGCTCATGGCCTCCGATGCGGATGGAGCCGCTCTGAGGATCATAGAAGCGCTGCAGCAGCTGAAGGATCGTGGACTTGCCGCTCCCTGAGGAGCCTACGAAGGCAACAGACTGGCCCTTCGCAATGGTGAAGGTGACATGCTTCAGTACCCGGACCTCGCAAGGGAGGTGCTCTATTGTCTGGCTTCCCTCTCGAAATCCTGAATTCACAATTCAGTGGTGATCTCCGGTGATCTGTTCGGAACTGTTGGACAGTTGCTCCGTGTCTGCGAACCCAGACCCTCCTAATCCGCCGAGACCACAGGCCCAGGCGTCTTGGGGGTGAGCTCAAGCACCCTCCGACGAAAGTTTGGACCCACCCGCTTTTTGCGTTCATTTCCCCGCCGGCCCACCCTCCTGACCCCCCCTTTTTCTGCTGCTTTTGGTCGTTTTCTGCTCTCCTCCCACTTCCCATCTCTCTTCCGCCCTTCCGCTGCCCCACCTCCCTCCCACTTCTGCATCTGCTCTGCTCTTTCACATTACAGAAGCAAGTCGATGAGTTCTGCCACACTGCTTGTCTGCAAGACCCGTAGCTTCCCCCGTCGGCGGCTGTTGGAAGAAATAGAACTGGGGATAAATGGTGTCTTTCGTGGACTCTGCGAAACTCACTGCAAGCTTCGGCAATGTTTCAGGACAAGCCAAATTCATGTTTGAGCATGCGCGCAGACAGCGAACCTCGGCACGGTGCGGATACCAGAAGCGCACATCCTTGAACTCAATGGACCCATCCCCAAGGTCTTGGATATGTCCTGTGGGTTGCGTAGCATCGATCTTGGAGACTTGATCGACGAGACGGAAAACCTCCATGGCCGCAATTCGGCCAGATGCAGCATCTGGAATGTGCTGCACAATGGAGGTGATCGACATCACACCAAACACCACACAAAACAGAGACATCAGGACTTGGCCGGCGTCGAAGCCCCAGTACTGAATGCAGACGGCACTCATGCCAAAGCCTGCCAGGAAGATCAGCTGCACGAGAGCCAAGTTCAGGCCCAGAGACAGACCCAGCCTCCAAGACTTCGCAGTACTAAGTTCTGTCAGCTTATCCAAGGACTCGTCTATGACTTCCATGATGTGTTCTTCTGCTCCGATCGCTTTCACAGTGCGAATGGAGGTCACGGCCTCTGACGTAGCTTTGCCAGCTTTGCCGTAGGCTTCCATCCTCTCAGGATCTCTTCGGGCCACGCAGGCGGCCACTGTGAGGGCAAGGAGGCCGCACAGAGGCATCAGGCCGAAGAGGACAGCGGAGAGCTCCCAGCAGCCGAAGAAACTGAAGGAGACGCTCAAGACACAGGTAAAGACTGCTGCACAGGAGTTTCCAAGCTGAATGCCCAGCATCTGTCCCACCCGATTCATGTGCATCTGCAAAGACACCAAGATGCTCCCGGTCTGGTTCTCTGGGGCATCGAAGAAGGACATATCCATGCAGACAGTCCTGGCAAAGGCTGCCTTGCGCAAGATCATGCACAAGCTTTCCTGCTTGTAAGAAAAAAGGTAGTTCTGCGCGAACACCGCGATTCCCGAGCCCAAACCGACGATTGAAAGACAGAGAACGGCACTGTCCAGCTTTTCATACATTGCCTCGAAGTCGCCGAGGGCGGCTTCGGATAGGGATACGACGGCCGCATTGAAGAAGACAGCTTCCAGCGGCATGCTCGCTGCTCCCGCCAGGACGATGACGACACTCACTGGCCAGACCCAGCGGTAGCGACCTGCAGTAAGCTCGCAAAGTCTTTCACAGCAGACAGAACCCTATCTCGACAAACCAACAAAGAAAACTGCTGGGCTACGGCCACAGGAGCCCATCATGCGCAAAAGGCGGCAAAACACTGCAGGACTGCCGGCATCCGCTGTTGCACCGCCATAGCTCGTTTTCCGCATCTCGAGGCCGAGGCTGCTGGCAAAGGACGCTGCGGTGGCCAACTTGCCTCGTTCATCATCATCTTCCTCAATGGAAGTGTCCTCGTCGCTTTGTTCCTCTTGCTGCTTCGTGTCCTCACTACTGGCCTGCTGCAATTTCACCATGTTGTGGTACTGGCCCTTCTTTTCCATCAACTGCTCGTGGTTGCCCTGCTCGCAGCAGTAACCATCGTTGAGCACGTAGATAATGTCCGAATCTTTGATGGTTGACAACCTGTGGGCCACAGATATTGTAGTGATGTTGCGTCCCATGGCGGCATTAGCAGATTCGAGGGTTGCCTGCACCATGCGCTCGGACTCGTTGTCCAAAGCCGAGGTTGCCTCGTCTAAGAGCAAGACCTGCGGATTCTTTGCCAGGGCACGCGCGATGGCAACGCGCTGCCGCTGTCCTCCAGACAGCAGGCCACCGCCTGCGCCGACACATGTGTCCAGGCCGTCTGGGAGCTGCATTACGGTGTCATAGATTTGCGCCACCTTAGCTGCTTGAATCGCCTGCTCATCGGAAACGGAGCTGTCCAAGGCCTTGAGGTTTCTCATGATGCTCGTGGCGAAAAGAACAGGCTCCTGGCCAACGTAGCCAACAAGTTTGCGCCAAGCCTTTGTCGGTACCAGACTCAGGGGAGTTCCATTCACCAAGACCTCACCTGCACTCGGATCGTAGAACCGCTCAAGGAGCTGGATGGTGGTACTCTTGCCACAGCCACTCTCCCCAACAAGCGCAACCTTCTGACCCTTCTCCGCCCGAAAGCTGAAGCTGTGAAGAACCCACTTGTCAAGCCTTGCCGGATACCTGAAGCCCACCTTTCGAAACTCGATGATGTCCACCTCGGTCAGGTTCGCAGGAAGCTCTGCTGGCAGTGGCCCACAAGCCGACTCACCAGCCTCCGAGGCCTCATGACGAATGACCATGACCTGCTTCATTGCTTTTGCAGAAACAGCAGCTCTGGCCATCACAGGAACAAAGCCACTAAACTCGCTGAGGGCTGAAACACCGACCATAAGGGAAAGCATGACCGTGATGATGCGTGCGGGCTCGAAGCCAGCATTCTCCTCAGACATGAGGACATGGCCACCAAACCAGAGAGCCAGCGAGTACAAGCATGGGTAGAAGACATTGAGAACACCCCATGCAGCACCGATCTTGGTACCAGAGCGGATGCCACCAATCTTGGCCGGTATCAGTTCCTTTTCGAACCTAGCGACCTCCACCGCCTCGCCACCAAATGCTGCGACGCTGCGGATTGCCATGAGCGCCTCCTCTGCTACTGCAGATGCCCGACCAAAGTTGGTCTGCTGCACCTCAGTGTAATGCGAGATCTCCTTTCCCATGCGATGGCCAGCACACATCAAGATGGGCATCGCGGCGCAGACGACGAAGGCCAGCTGCCAGCCTTCATAGACCGCCAGCAGCAGGCCAGCCACGAACTGGGCAAAGTTCGATATCAGGAACCCCAGGGCTGACGACATAAAAAGGTAAACGTTCGCGGAATCGCTCTCCAGCTTGGATGCGACTCCCGCCGGGTCGTGCTCATCGTACCAGGAAACCTCAGGGAAAATCGACTCCGTGCCAGAAGCCAACAACAACAACACCAGAATTTGACTGAAAGCGCTTCCCAAGGAACGTCTAAGGAAAGTAGCACTTCCACGAACCTGCGGTGCCAGCGGAGGGCTTGCTTGGCGGCGGCCCAGGCCAAGCAACTTTGCCAACCGAAGGCCAGGAAGAATTGGACGGCCGCCAGTCCCCCGATCTGACAGGTTCGGAAATGATGGTGTGGATTAGGCTGTAGATGGACGAGCATACACGTATTTATGTGTAAGTAGGTTATATATTTGTGTACATATATATTATATGTACACACATATACACACATATGTGTGTATATATATATATATATATATATATCTGTGTGTGTGCGCATGTGTATACGTATACCGTATATACATAACCTAGCTCAGACATATGGTAGAGGTGCAGCAATTGAAATTGAAGTTTGCTATTCAACTTGTCGAAAACCGTATATGATGTAACTAGGTTATTTCCAACACACTTGTCGAAGTTATGTACAGATGAGTCTTACAGTGACCGATTCTCTGTCTGTGCCTTGATAAACTCAGGGGTCATCGCCTCTATCTCCTTTGAATGCTCTGCCACCGCCAATGTGGTAATGCTCTCCCCCATGAAAAGTGCAATCGCTGGAGCTGTCAGACCCTGCACAACAGCCAAGATGACGCCAACGGTCAAAACGGCCTTTTCGCAGAACTTCTGGGAGCAGCCACTTGCATCTTCGATGGCCTTTCCTGCCAAGTTCCTGCAGGCCTCGATGTCGTCCTCTTCTGCTTTCCCTGCTTCGGCATTACCGTCCGGTTCCACCGGTCCTCGCCCCAAGAGGACGGGCAACTGATTCTCAAATGAGGCCGGCATCTGAACGGCCATCGACCGTGATCGAATGGGGGACAAAAGCGCGAGTTGTGGGGCTGGATGCTTTTCCACCTCAAACCTTGCAGTAAAGGCACTCAATTTGCATGTGTTTTCGCAAGCTTCGGAGATTGAATCGATTCTGCTCGGGACAGAGAAAAGGCTTGTGCTCTGCTCAGACTGCCAACGCTCGCTAGTGATGCTGCGCTGCTGCTGCTACTACTACTACCACCACTGCTACTACTGCTACTACTGCTACTGCTACTACCGCTACTACCACTACTACTACTACTACTACTACTACTACTACTACTACCACTACTACCACGACGACGACGACGACTACTACTACTACTGCTACTGCTACTGCTACTGCTACTGCTACTGCTACTGCTACTGCTACTGCTACTGCTACTGCTACTGCTACTGCTACTGCTACTGCTACTGCTACTGCTACTGCTGCTGCTACTGCTACTGCTACTGCTACTGCTACTGCTACTGCTGCTGCTGCTCCTGCTTCTGCTACTGCTACTGCTTCTGCTGCTGCTTCTGCTTCTGCCTCTGCCTCTGCTTCTGCTTCTGCTGTCTGCTTCTGCTACTGCTACTGCTACTGCTACTGCTGCTCCTGCTCCTGCTCCTGCTCCTGCTCCTGCTCCTGCTGCTCCTGCTCCTGCTCCTGCTCCTGCTGCTGCTACTGCTCCTGCTCCTGCTCCTGCTCCTGCTCCTGCTACTGCTACTGCTACTGCTACTGCTACTGCTACTGCTACTGCTACTGCTACTGCTACTACTACGACGTACGACGAACTCGGAACGAAACGCAGGCGTGGCTTTTTCTGGCACTTGCTGGTTTCTGCAGTGAAGCCGTGCTGCTCGAGCAGCGAACACATTTGCCCACTGCCGAGTCCACCAAGCTCGGATCCGCCTGAGTCCTCAGAAGAAGGTACACAAAAAGGGCATGCGGCATGTCACTGTTGGGAGTTCGACAACGGAGTCCGTCCTGCTCCTCAAGGACTTTCCTCTCGAAGGCCCTGGAAGTGCTCGGCCCAGCGTGACCGGATCCCCGAGCACAAATCCAGGAGGCAACCACGAGGCCGTGCACGGAAGTCCCGAAAACGCCGCGCTCAGCAGTTCGGTCGTTGGCCCTCCGGCTTGGATTGAGGAGGGCCGAGTGGCTCAGGGCTGCCCCCAGTGCCTGCCGCAGCACTTCGGACTGCGAGTGTCGGTGGAGGCTCTCGCATGCCTGGAGCACTTGCACGAGGCAGGCGGCATCTGGGGCCCCAAAACCGCTCAGAAGGCCAAGGGCCTGCTGCCAGGCGAGGCTGCGAGCGCAGGATCCAAGCACCAGGTCCAGCAAGGCCAAGTCGCGAGGCTGAGGCCGCGGAGGCCGAGGCCGCAGGCTCTGGTAGACAGAGAGCAGATGTAGGCCGTGCTGCCAGCTTTGGGCCGCCGACGCCCTCACCAGAACGCTCCATGCCGGCAGGGGCAGGTCGGCCAGCGTTCGCAGAAGCTGAACCGCCTCTTGCCAGAGCCCTGCTTGCTCGAAGGAGCTCGCCACGATGGTAAAGCCTCGAGCTGTCTCGGCACATCGCCGCTGTGCTGCGTTAACGAATTCTCCTGCCGAGGTACTGGCTGCATCGGCAGAAGGCCCCGCATCCCAGAGAAGCTGCAAGCACTGCTCCCATTGCCACGCCCGCTCGCAGGCCTCGGCGAAGAGGACAGCCGGTTCTGTCGGGCTTTGTCTACAAGGCTGCAGCCGTGGCACTGACAAACTCGCATTGAAGCTGCTGGTGTCTGGCTCCTGCCAGGGCCAGGGAGCCCCTACAAAACCTCCAAGAGACAACTTCAGATCGAAAGCGGTCCGGGGTCCGAACCTGGCCGTGGTCACGCATGCTCGATAGCAAGCGCAGGGACATCCTCCATCTGCCGGCGGCACCCACTGCAGAAATAGCTGCGTTGTAGACCGAGGTACGATTGAGCCAGCCACGCTGGGACTCTGCGAGCAGTGAGAGCGCGCGGCCCCAGAAGACCCGACCGCGCTCAAGGGCGCTGATGGCGATGCCAAATGTGGCCACGTCCGGGGTGCCACCAGTACATATCGCGGACTGCATGAACTGCAAACAGAGTTGCCACTTTGCAGCGCGGGCGCAGCCAGTCAGCGCCGCATTTAGGACCTGCACTGGTCCGCCCGAACCTTGGCATCTTGGCACCGCGAGAAATGCGCGCAACGCTTCAGCACAGACCAGAAAGTCCAAACCCAAAAAAAAACAAAAATCTCGCAGATCCTAGAAACGCTAAACTTGGAAGCCCAAAGCTTCATAAAATCCGAAAACCTGAGCGCTCCCGAGCTCGAATCACGAAGACGCAAGAACGGAAGGCTTTGAGGTTCAGGGTTTGCTTGGATCCAGGGCCAGGATTGAGGGCTTCGGTTTCAGATTTTCGGCTTTTGCGGCGTGGGGTTTAATTCGTCTGGGTTAGGAGACTCGGCTTTTCGGGCATTGGAGAGATTCACTCAGTGTTCTGAACCTGGGGTTGAGGATACTGTATTCCTTCCTTCCTCCGTCCGTCATGTTTCGCTGATCAGATCGGAAAAGAAAAAACGCTGTGCAAACCACACCAGCCAGAAAGGACTGGCTTATGGGTTCTGCAACTGAAGCAAGAATGCATTTCGGGCAGCTTGCCCGACAGATTCCAACACGTGTCTGATATCTGGGTGAGGAAGAAGTCAGCGCAACTGACACAGTTGACACAAACACAGAGAATCGTGCTCAGAGATGGCAAAAAGAATCCTCAGCAAACTTCAGCAAACATACATCCACTGTCAGTTTACCTAACTTTTGCCTACCTTCCTGCCCTTCCAAATACATTCCCACTCTGCAGGTTCGAACGGAGCAGAACAGAGGTTAAAGAAGCCTTCCAAGAATCGGGCTCCTCCCGAAACGGGAAACCCTCCGCGGTGCCTTGTAGAGCGATGGCCATGGCCTCCCTCCAGAGCGCAGCCGCCGCAAAGCAGCCCGCAGCTGCAGCGCGGCCGTAGCTGTCCATGTCTTCCCCTCCTCTCCGAGAGCAGAGCACAATCCAAGGATTTAATTCGATGACGTACGTAGAGAACAGCTTGATGGAATGTACTAAGTCTGCAGTGCGGCTTCTGTTTGCTAGTATATGGCTACAGCTACTACACAGTACTTATGTAGTCCCATAATGTATCAGGCTTTGCGCTCTGAAGCTGCGCCTCTTTCGAGAAGAGCCAGGCCCTGGCGCCACTGCGCTGCCTCTGCGAAGGCGGCCAGAAGACTGTTCCGGGCGACCTCCCAAAGAGACCCTTCTCAAAAAGCTCTAGAAGCATTTAGGGTTTAGGGCTTCTAGGGTTGAGGCTTTTTAAGGGTGTTTAATGTTGTTTAGGGTTCAGGGTTAAGGCGTTTAGGGTTTGGGACGAGTTTTTATGGTTTGGATTTCGAGCACCAGGCCTGGTCGGGCATGGCCCGCAGGCCCGGCAAAGCGAGCCAGAGCACCTGAAGCTTGGCTGTTGCTTGAAAGCATGCGCAGTCATTTCTCATCTGGGCCCCCCCCCGGCCAAAGCGGTCAGAGATTGCATTCTCTTGCCCTCCTGGAATCTCTTTCCCAATCACCCTTTAATCTGCTCCGATGGAGCGCGATACTCAAAAGGCAAGTTCTTCGGTGCTTTCAGAGTGATGGCGAGGCAAGCGAAGCAACGCAACATGAAAGAAGCCCAGCCCAGCTGCCAAAGAAAGGCCACCAGGCGGCCAGCGCTCGCTGCCACTCTGCAGCACGGGCGAGGGCATCCAGCGCTGCGCCTCCACCTACCTGCGAGTGGATCGCGAAGAACGATTTCAGAAGTGCAGCACAGGATTCACGGCTATTCGTGAAGCACCGAAGCAAAGACAAGGAAGTGCCAGTTAGTCTACATCTTCATTTCTTCCGGGTCGTGGTGTAACCCACTTCGGCCACCATGTGTCTTGCGAGATGCTATGCAGTGTCACTGCAGATCAGAGCCGGCTTGGACAGATCAAAGTCCACAAAAAACAACTGGCCGGATTCGAAAACATTGCAGATAAGCGATTGCAGCACTTGCGACACGTCGTAACTGTCCAACGGAAAACGTTGGACTCTCTTTCTTGGAGCTCAATCCCAGCCTTGTCCACACCGGAAGCCAGCAGACAGAGTGCCACGTGCCAGGCAGCCCCCCTGAAGTATGCAGCTGTTGGTCGTGTGCCGTCTGGGCTTGTAGGCTCAAAATATCGGAAGCCAAGGCTTCGGGTTGAAAACAGACTGACTACTTGCATCTAGCCACCGGGCGCAGGCGGCAATCAACCTGAGCTGGGAGCTTGATTTATCCCGGATGCTGTCGCCAAGTGACAGCTAGGCGCCAGCCTGGAGTGTATGATCCCCTTCCCCGTCTCGATCAATCCCTAGCCACCTGAAGCTCAGGAGCGTATTGCAGCTGATGGCATTGGGTCGAATCCTCTCGGAGGGCATCTCCTGCACGAACCCATCTTCCCGATTGCAACGCATGTCACAATGTGTGTCTTATCTGCAGCTCTCACAGTCCACAAGTCGCAACCCTGAATCGGCTCCGAGAGGATGTGGAGGCCGGCTTGCCACTGAGCGCCCTTCCGCGATTTCGCGGCTCTTGGCTCTTCGGCTTCGCTTCATTTCGCATGGGGAAACTTCGCAGGCGAAGCCCAGGCTTAAACACCTTAAGCGGCTGCTGAGACTGAAAGTCCGTCCATGGCAAATGTCGCAAGTCAAAGAGTGAGGCTGTGCGGCTGTAGAGTGATTTCGTTCTTGGGCCTGCCGGCAGGCCGCAAGGGCAGCGTTGAAGCAAATGGCATCGAGCCCGCCAGGACCAAGCCTTTACTGTCAAGGGGAACAGATCCCTCCCGGGAACGCAGACGACAGCTTCGGACCCGCCACGACTCATTGGTTAGTTAGCAACCTGCACACTGTACAGAACAGCTTCCATCCATCCCTTGGAAGCCTCAGCCGTCTTCCTCGCAGCGCCCGGAAGATATCTAGGGCCAATGCCCAGCGCCATCCACGTTGGTGAGCCACCTCAGAAGCGTTGGGAATCACCGCTGAAACATATAATTTGCGATTCCTCTTCAGTTGAATTCTGAGGATTGCTTGGGTTTCTTGAGTGCCGAATGCTCCATCTGAAATTGCGGGTCCGCCACAATCAATCGCGTGCTGCTCACCAGACTCACCTGAAGCTTTGGATCGGCAAGCGCAGCAAGCTTTGTCCGAAACGTTCGAAAGCGCACGAAGCCTCGACTGCTGCACCGTGAACGTGGCGCACCAATCCCGGTGCAACGCGACATGGCATCGTGGTCCATGTCCATGTTGGTCACACGGTCAAGGTCCATTAACACATAACCACAGTGAACTTGCACCCTATGCCTGCAAAACACTGCATCTTGCAAAACGAAGGAATCTGCATGTTGCAACAGACAGTTGATGTGAAGCTGTGGATTGCCGAACCGTCTGTGTCTAACTCGCTCAGCAGCAAAGGCATCCAGCACATGGCTGGATGTTTTCGAGGATTCAAAAACCGTTTCAAGCATTGGAGCTTTCCTTGATGATTGATAGTCGACATTCCCGACATGAAACAGCGCTTGAGACTGTCTTCCCAGCGTTTTTTGTTTCAAACAAAACGTGGTTGTGGAAACGATGAAACGGCATGCTGGGCTTGGGGCACGCAACTGGTGCGAAACACGTGAAGTAACCTCCTGGCTTCCTTCGTCTGGGTTGAAAAACGCAGTCAACAATTTAACATGACTGCTTCGGAAGAAGGAAATGGCATCTGCATCGTTATGTAAGATTCGGAAGCACGCAAAACTTTGGATTGCGCTGCATGTTTGTTGTTTGTTTGTTTTCCATACCTTTCATTGTTTTGAAAATGAAAAAACGACACGCACTTGTCCGACATTATCTTGATTGAAAAACAACGGAACTTGCTCGTTCATGCATTTTTCAGGGAAGTGTTGCTGCCAATCGCACTATGCCACCTTCCGAATACAACTGTTGATGGTGATGACGGTGATATTAACACATGCAACGCAGATGCTGCGTCAGGTTGGAAGAATGGCTCGTGTTGGTGCATATGAAACGGTCATAGCGGTCGTTCGAATGGACAGTGCTTGGATGTTTTTCACGTATCGGCTACGTCGAAAAGCTCAGGGTGAGGGAAGCTACGCACCAACAGCAACCTCTCACGTTTTCCTGTGCATCGTCGTTGCAGTGGAGACGGAATCCAAGACTGCTCCGGGTACGAGGACGCGCTCGAACATGTTCGGTACTCGTTCGAAACCATCGCTCGTGCGCACTCGGGGAATCGAATCTCGTTGCACATACTCGGACACTCGGACGTGCACGCTGGAGTCGACGTTGTCGGATCCGTGAGAAAAAAACCAGCTTGAACTTGGATTCAATCCAATTCACCGAATCCTCCAAAGTTCGATCTCGAGTTGATTTCAAACAAATTCTAGGTCTAGCTTCTGTTTCAAGAAACAAAGCATGCATTGTGCACGGTTCAGGACAGTTCTACACCACGCAACACCAAAAGGCTACGAGGCTACTGCGAAGCAAAGCGGAAAGCAAAAGTCGACAGCAAAGCCAAAAGCAGAAGCAAAGCGGATAGAGTTGACAGCCAAAAGCGAAAGCAGTAAGATGTGCGTTAGCGGGCTATGTGACTGAAAAGCTCCCTGCGCTGAAAAGCTGCCCCAAAAGGTGTGGGCGGGTGGGAAAGTTTTTGAAAAGCAAGCAGCTGTTGCGTGGTGTATGCTTGAACCCAAGCGGGGCCGCGGGGTAAGAACTGCCGAAACAACCCTGAGTGAACACAGGAACCGTTCAGGACAGTTCTACACCACGCAACACCAAAAGGCTACGAGGCTACTGCGAAGCAAAGCGGAAAGCAAAAGTCGACAGTGCCGGAAACTCGACTGCTCTGTCTTCGAAAGCATCCGGGGTCTTTGACCTTCCGGATGGAAAGCTGAGCTGAAGCAGCGGAGCAGTCGAAAAGCCCAAGCAAGAAACTGGCAAGCCGAAACCTCGCAAGACGCTCTAGAAGCCAAGTGGAGAAGTGAGGTGAGGAAGCAGAAAGCAGTGCTACTTACGCTTGTTGGAGCCACGGTTTGTAGGGCCCAAGCTGTCAGCTGACGGAAGTTGCCATTTCAGAAATGTGTCAGCGGGAAAAAGTGTCACTTGAAAGCGGAGCTGCCAGAACTCAGAAAGTGAGAGCTCGATGCGGTTCGCGGCCAGAAACTTGGCAGGGAGTTCCGCTGAGCCGTCCCACCGAGAAAGCAGGTCTGCGTCGTCGTTCTTCTCGCCAGCTATGTGGCTGCAGTCCAGAGTGACACCAGTAATCGAGCTCCACATCGAAAGCTTGCGAACAAAAAGATTAAGTGGTACTTTGGAGGTGTAAAGCTTATTACACACCGACTCTGCACCACTGTTATCGCTCAAAGCTGGTAATGTCAAAGCCAAGCGACCGGAACCATGGGCTTTCCAAAAAGCCAAAAGCACAAAGCACTGTGCCAATGTCTCGTAGCTGGAGATGTCCAAGTTGGCGTCTGGTTGCATGGGCAGACCTAAGTCCAGAAAGTCTTTGACAGTGTAGCGGTGGGCGAACCAAAGCAGGCGTCCACTGGGGATGAGGAGCCATCCTCCCACGCCGCAATCATTTCCCTTGCCGAAAGCGTCAGCGGCCGACTCCACCGAACTGGTAGGTGGTGGTCGAAGCGGCCTGGGCCGCCAGTCCCTGGAGCTCAAGTGGGCAAAGAAGGCAAGGGTTTCTCTGCTAGACTCAGATAAGCGCCGCTTGGAGGAAGTGGGGTCCGTGACTCGGAGCCACATGCGCTTGGTGCTGACGGGGACTAAGGCCAGGTCTTCCTTACTTTTAAGAGGTTTATGCCGAGCTGAAAGCAGGGTTGAGCCCGGTGAAATGCCCATGCCCGGGGGGCAACCTGTGAAGCGAAGCTTGTCGTCCAGGTAAGAGTGGATGCCTGGCCACACAACAGGGCTGATGCTGACATTGGTGCCAAGTGGTCTATGCATGTCATCATATAGAGTGCATAGCCAGGGTGAACTCGTTTAACTTACTTCAACCTCACGATGACGATACGCGTATCTGCAGCCTTTGCACTCCAGCAATTTCGTGGCCTCCTCGACTCTCGACCACTAAAGGGCAACCACACTGCCTAAAACTGTTGGAATGCGGTCGCGCCATCGCTTTACGATGGCAATCACAACGGTCGAATGTCATGACTTGCATCTCCTCAACTGTCGATCCACAACGCAGCAAGGCCCGCCGGGTGTGCAACCCTTCAGAGACACTAATTTCTATTCGCAGCAAAGCACACATTTTTGCCCCCCCTCCCCCAAACTCAAAGTGTGGGTTCAAAAAAAAACGTTTCGCTGAAAACTTTCGTTGGAAACGTTTCGTTGAAAACGTTTCGTTGAAAACTTATTGGCACCCAAACCCTTAACAATTTCTATAAACCCTAAACCCTAAACCCTAAACCCTAAACCCTAAACCCCTAAACCCTAAACCCTAAACCCTCAAGAAAGTGATAAATAGAAATTGCTTGTCCTTGTTTGTAGTCACCGCTACGGCCCAACATACCGATGAAAAATTGAACAACCTTCTTGATAAACCAGTTTCCTTACAAGCTTGTAACCGCCGCTACGGCTTGTGTTTGTTTGTAATCATGGCTACGGCCCAGCATACCGATTAAAAATTGCCAGGCACTCGAAATTTGCAGAGTCTGTACCATACAAAGATACGAAGTTCATGGGTGGACGTTGGCGTTACAAACTTACAGCGTCCTTGAAATTTGCAGTGTCTGTACCATACAAAGATACGAAGTTGATGGGTGGACGTTGGCGTTACAAACTTACAGCGTCCTTGAAATTTGCAAGCTCTGAAGCATGACACATCCCAGGCCGGAAATGTGTCATCTTGTCCGCCTTACAGAAAGAAGCATTTTGCTCTTGTCCGAGAAGAAAAAAAAAGTTTTCAAATCTGGCCAATTCCAAAACGCGGTCCTGAAGGGTTCAGGGAAACCCTTCAGATCTTGAAGGGTTTAGGACAACCCTTCAGGTCCTGAAGGGTTCAGGGAAACCCTTCAGATCCTGAAGGGTTTAGGACAACCCTTCAGCCCAGAGACCAGTTCGACCCATTATGAGGCGACTCAACATGTGAATCCACCGCAGGCGACACGTGCAGTGACGCACTGCCAGTGTAGGTTTAGGGATTTCGGAATCCCAGGTACAGCTGCACGGCCAGACATGCGGGCATCGCCGCAGTGTCAACACAAGCGGACACGTGCAGTCCTATAAAGCCAGTGCCCGGTTCGACCTATTATGAAGCGAACCAACTCGTGAGTCTACTGCAACCGGACACGTGCAGACCCGCAGCCCGGAGCTCAGTTCGATCTAGTACGAGGCGAGCCAGCACATATCATGAGTGGCGCAGTCCCACAGCCCGGGGCTCGGTTCGACCTATTGTGATGCAATCCATCAGCGCCCTGCGTATCAGTTTTTTTTTCATCAAGCCAGCAGCCCAAAACCCAGTTCAACCCATTAAGAGCAATACTTTAACGCATCGTAACGCCATCCAGCAACCCGAGGCACAGTCAGAGAAGCGATCTAGCAACCCGGCACCGGGTTCGATCTAGCATGGGACGCTCCCACTTGCCATGGTTCAGTGCGCTAACCCTCCAGCCCGGCCCAACGCCAAATCAAAATAAAATTGGTCAGGAGTAGCTCCCACCCCCCAACCCCTCCCCTCCCCAACCCCCCCCACCCTCCCACCCCCCCCAGCCCCCCCTTACCCCCCCCCTACCCCTACCCCCCCCTACGCTCCCTGCGCCCCCCCTACCACCCGACCTAGTGCACCGCACTTCCTACCCCCCCTCTAAGCCCCCCCAACCCCCAACCTTCGTCATCCCCTACCCTATAGCCTCCCAACCCCAAATCCACCAAAAAACCGCCAAAATTCAGGTTCGACCTGTAATGAGGGTTTAAGACGCTTGTGCGCTCCTCCCTCGCCCCCGCCCACCCCCCACCCTGCCGCGTAAAGCAGGAAGACCATGCAAAATCCACTGAAGCAGACCTAGCAGTTTGTCAAGCTGTTTGCGGCTGACAAGTCGGTGCCGAAGGCATTCCTCCACCTGGCCAAGCAGCTTCAAGCGTTTGAGCTCCGGTAAAGTGTAACAGCCAGCCTTGAAGTCGATCTGCCACCCTATCCAGGTTATAGACGGCCCCATCTGCAATTTCCGTCAACTAAGCGGTATATTGAAGCAAGCGCAGAATGCCAACACCAAAGAAGCGCTAAGCGGCAGTGCACGAGAGTTTTGCCAGAGAAGCAAATCGTCTACGTACAACATGAGGACGTGTGACAACCAGATAAGTAGGTGAAGGCAGCGCACAAAAAAGCCCCCTAAGCGGGCAAACCAGTGGCTCGAAAAAGTGGCCCCGAAGGGACAAACGCGGTAGAAAAAGAGGCGTTCTTGTTGTCGAAGTCCAAGCAGGCCTCTGTCGTTCTCGCGCACAAGTGAAGTTTTGTGCGCTCCCTTCACATCCAAGCTGAAACCTGAAACCGGCTCCTCGTCCTCCCTCGGAGGATAAGCGGACTGAATGTCCTGGAGGCTGGGCAGAGAGAACTGTTCAGGTACGTGGCAGTTCTGGTTCGTGTTGCAGATGCTGTTGTCTATGACCAAGCGGGCAGAGCGACCGGGGGCCTTCACAATGTTCACACGGCCCACCGCAACACGTTCCTTGCCCCACCTTTCGTAAGCAGCTTCTAAGCTGGTGACTTCCTCTATGTAGCCGGCAGAGACCTCCTCCTCGATCAACTCCTGAAGCAGTGCCGGGTCTGCCTCAGCCCCCTGCCAGTTACCTTCGCAAACAAGCAGGTCAGTGGGTTCGTCTGAGTTGTTGGGATCACGAGGTCGGAGGGTGTGGCTGCGAGGGATGTCGCCATCGAACCCAGTAGGCACACCTTTCTGCAAAGCGGGGAAAAGAGAAGTATCCTTGTCACCCAGCAAAGTACTCAAGCGCTCCAGTGCTGACAAGCAGTAGGGTTGGCCTTCTGTCACTGAGAAGTTCCAGTCCTGGCATGGGGAGTGAGCATCCGAAAAGCGCTTGAAAGAAGAGCGAAGCCACTCCGTTTCTTCCTCTGTAAAAAGAGGTGTATTGCTGGCTTCGGCAACGTGTTGCTGGAGCCTGAGAGGAATTCTGTTTTGAAGCAGCCAAGATTGCCATTCCTTCCGCAGGTCGCGCAAGCTGTCGGACTGATACCTTGGGCCAAGGGACCAGTCGGGTAAAGAGTAGATGCCTCCGCCATCCTGAGCGGCTGTGGGCGTTGATGAACGCGGCTTTTTGGGAACGGAGGCCAGTGCGAACTTCAAGGAGCAGGGTGCCACCGGGTAAGCAGGTCTTGCCGAAGAGAATAAGTGCACTGCCTTATCTGAGAACTTTTCGGCAAGCTGGGACGGGTACTCCGCCGTTCTCTGGGACAAAAAGTTCCCGTGTTCGTCCCTGGCTCCTGCTACAGACTGGTGGCCTCCTGCATGTGAGCATGTGCTTGCCAGAAAGCGGAATTCACTGTAACTGCAAGCGAAAAGCCAAGATTTTGCTATGTCCTGTCCCACTGAGCATGCCGGGATGTTGACCAGTGATGCCTGTATTTCAGAAAGCATGTCCTGAACAAAAGGCTCAAGCCAGGACATAGCGTTGGTGGGCTGTTCCAGGGATACATGTGCGCCTGAACAGAAAGCTGCTCTCAGAAGGCATACGCAACGATATAGAAGCTTCTGGCTGCTGTGCACTCTAGCTTGCTGCGAAGCGGTGTTCCCTGGCATACCATTCATGTGATCCGGTGATCGAATGGCTGGGGCGGCTGGGGGTCCACCAGGACGAAGCTTCAAGCGGGAGTACTCCTTGCAGGGCGGAGAACCGTGAGCTAAGCGTACAATCCCAGCGAAACACAGCCGAAGCAAGTGGTCGTAGGTGTCGTCGTTGAGAAGGTCGAGTTGCTCCTCGCCCAGTAGATCTATGGGCAGACAAGTGATTCCGTATGAAGACATCGCCGTGGTAAGTGGGTGAGCGGCCCCGCAGCATATGTCCAGGAAGAGCTCCACGCATGTCGTATCCTTGAGCGGGGGAGATATTGACTGCGGGTGGTCTGGGGTGGCCGGCGGGAGCGGGAAGCCCAAAGACCTCAGGTGTGCCAGTGACGTTGCATCAAAGCGTGCTAGGCTCTTGCAAGTATAGGCAGTCAATACCCACCGGTCTCCTTGTATCGGAAGCGTGCAATGAAGTGCTTCACAGCTGAAGGAGAGCGGCGCGTGCCAAGTGTCGCGCACCTCGCCTGTACCAGCTTCGGATGCACTGTGCGTCTCGGATGAGGCGTCCACGGGGGCCGGTACCTGAGAGGCCGCGTGGTTCAAAGCGGGGCAAATCCAAACCTCGCCACCGCTGAAGTTGCCAAGTGAAACTGTGTGGTGCGTGCAAGTCAAACCCATCCCACCAACCACCCCCCTTTTCACCACCATACAATACTGTGGCGGGGCACGTGGTTTAAAAATGGTTTCACAAAAGTGGAACCGATATAAATGGAGTTATCTTGAAAAGTCAGTCCAAATATATTCGTATGAAATCGCAGTCAGAGTATTTCAACTGACATGCATGTACAAGACCGCAGGCACTGACATGTAGCAGACTCTCGCGCAACGATGTTTTCCCTCTTTGTTGGATCGGAATCCCCATTCGGCGAAGTGCATGTGCTGCGCTTGCAGCGCCTTAGGCGAAAGCAAGCCTGCCCACTCCAAGCACATGCAAGACGCCAGGGTTGGGAGGGTGGGAGCTTCAAAATCTCACCACTTGACCCTGTGGCTGCCATGCAATAGACATGATTCGCATGCAGCATAAAATAATCAATCAAGATAAAAAGGGAAGAATCTCTGCAAAGATTCACGCGTTCAATTTCCCCCAAAAAGGAACGCCCCCCCAAGTCCAGCTTCTTCGAAGCCTAGTGTCCCAGTTTCCGGAAAAAGGAACACTCAAAATCAAAAAGAAAATAAAAGCTCCAAAGAGCTTTTGCCTCCCGCAAGAGAAGGTACATGCAGTGTACCAAGCACATGGGTTTGAAGAGCACACACACTGACGCAACAAGTCGCGAACGCGTGCGCGCAAGTCAAACCCATCCCACCAACCACCCCCCTTTTCACCACCATACAATACTGCGGCGGGGCACGTGGTTTAAAAATGGTTTCACAAAAGTGGAACCGATATAAATGGAGTTATCTTGAAAAGTCAGTCCAAATATATTCGTATGAAATCGCAGTCAGAGTATTTCAACTGACATGCATGTACAAGACCGCAGGCACTGACATGTAGCAGACTCTCGCGCAACGATGTTTTCCCTCTTTGTTGGATCGGAATCCCCATTCGGCGAAGTGCATGTGCTGCGCTTGCAGCGCCTTAGGCGAAAGCAAGCCTGCCCACTCCAAGCACATGCAAGACGCCCATGCGAAGCCGGAGCCGAATGATCACCACTTGGTCCGAGCCCGCTTGGGCCCCTTTCGTGGCCCGGATGAAACCCCTCCCCTCTTTGTCAAGGCAGTCTTTGCCTCGACCAGCTCCGAATGAAAGGATGCGGCTGAAGCCAGCAACGAACCCAGTACGATCCAATCGATCTGGGCCCCATCCACAATCAGCCTCGTCCCAGGATCGAAGCGCTCGAAATTTTGATTTGTCAAATCATCGGCCCACTGATTTTTCTCCCTCGGAACCCAGTGAAGGTCGAGGACCTGGTTGCTGCTCCTCAGGGTCTCCGAAAGCTCCATGAGCAGCAGAGGCAGTGGGAACTTAGTGGACATGAGCTTGGAGACCGCGTAGCTGTTTCCCTGGTTGTCCGTACCGCCGGTGATGTGTCCAGGGGACCTCCCATCCTTCAGCATTCGCTTTCCCCATAGCTTGACACAGATCAAGGTACCCAGCAACTCGAGGCTCGCAATGGTGCGCTTCAAGTCCTTCTTGATGCAAGCCCAAGGCGCCCAGCTCTCGAGAACCTCAACGGCGTACCATTGCAACACCTCCTTGCCGTCCCATTGATTGCCACCAATCCAAGAACAGTTCTCCTCTGCTTTAGCATCCGAGAAGAAAGTCAAGCCTTGATCCGCTGGTGCCTCGGCGATCTGCATCGGGGACTGAAGCCGTTCCCCTGATCTGAAGCGGTTCGCCATCCACGATAGGATGGATCTCAGCATCACTGGCAGCCTCAGTGTCCCTCTGTGTCCCCGAGTGGCAGATGACCAGGAGTAGAGCGGCCCCAGAATAGGGGCGCTCCCAAGAGAGAGCATTTGCTCCAAAGCTCAATCGTCCAAGGCCGCATGCAAAGTCATCCCAAGTGACGGTGCCAGTCTCTGCAAGCTTTGATGCCCAATCCGCGAGCCATTGAGCCCTCCTCTCAGATATGCCCAGTCTGAAGGTCGAGTACGAAGTCTCGTACCCGATCCACTGCACATTTAGCCCCCCTTTTGTCTTCGTCCACTTGAACGGAAATCCCAGGCAGGCCAACAGCGCGTAGGCGAGCACCATCCCCCGGCGACCCGCCTTGTCGCCCCCGATCATCTCGACGTCATCCGCGAAAAGAAGCATCTCCAGCGCTCGCCTCCCAGTCAGGTGGTGAACCAATCTGATGGATCCCTCGGAGATTCTGGCCCACCAGTACCCAGCGCTTGCCAGTCCGAATGTGCCCACACAGTTCAGGTACACGATGCAGTCCCGAGAGGATGCTTTGCATGCCAAGTACCCCCACTCGTCCTTCCGATGTTTGAAGCGCCGGTGGGCCTTTGTTATGTCCCCGGTGACTGCCATTGGAGCCATCCTGTCGGCCCGGAGCCGCCGAAGGAGATAGCGTTTCTCTCTGGCTCCCGGTGATCGAACTTTGTCGAGGCAGCGTATTCTGTGGTTTAGCAGGACGTCGTGAGAGGCGTCGTGCACCACCCGTTTCTTCACCGGCGGGCCCTCTTCGACAATCACTGCTATCGCCGAGATCGCCGCCTCCTCCCCGTACTGCGCCCAAAAGGCCTCCTCGTCCATCTTTATCATCAGGCCCTCCTCCACCTCCGCGTCGAAGTGTTCCCGTACGAAATCCAGATTGTCCTCGGCCGACTCGTAGCTGGCCTTCCAGGATTGCGCCACGTCCAGAGGGCCCATCTCGAGCTTCCACTTCGTTTGGGGCTCGAAAATACTTGGCGTTCTGGGAAGCGCATGCTTAACCCCAACCGGAAACCCCTCAATCCCCTCAAGAAAGACTTCCCAATCAGGATCCGAGGCATCCTTCAGAAGTGCGGCGATAAGCCTTAGTCTGAAGGGCTGTCCAGGGTCGACCACGTTCAAGCTGTCCAGGTCTTGCACTTTGCCCTCGAGATGAGAGAGCAGGGCCGCTCGAAGCTTTTCATGCAGAAGGGGATCGGCGACCAATTTGCAGCCCATCTCGCCTTTCGCGGCCATCTCAAAGGGGATCCTGTCCAGTTTCTCCGGGCCGCCGGCGTGGTCAAGGAGGATCGCTTCAAGGTTCCCACGCAGCTTCTCCCATCCGTCCGCATCGCAGTACTTACGAGCACCAGGGTCCCATCTGCCCGGGGAGCAGAGCCCTGCCCCGTCATGAAAAGGGCGGCTTCCCCAAGGTTCACGGCAGACTCGTGCCGGGCCCTCACCGCCCCGGATGGGCGGCCACGTCGGATCTATTTCAGGCTCCAGAGCCAAGATAAATCCACGCTCCTTAAGGATCTTCTTGTCCCCCGCGGCCATCTCCCGTGCTCTCGCCACAGTATAGCCAGCCAGGACCAATCGCGTGCCCCTCCAGTCCTCCGCAGCGTGCCAGCGATGGGCGTCGAAGGAGATACCCTTCTTCCATTCCAGGATGTCGCCCTCCATCTCACGACCCAGGATCAGTCTCCTCGCCAATCCCCCATCGCGTTGCATCCAGAGTCCGCCGTCCTTGAAAGAGGTGCATGCCAGGAGCAGATTTTCCGCCTGCCCGTTTGTAGAGTCTCTGTGCGGCGGTTGTTTCAGGTCTCTGAAGAGCGCAAGCGAGGTGAAAGATGCCCCAGGGAAGGCCGCCGCCAGGATCCTAGCGAGCAACTCGCTAGCCCATCGGTAGACACGAAGATTCTTCCTCAGCCCCACTGTCTCCTGATGGATAAAAGCCCCGGTCGTGAAAGAACGTTGTCCTTCCACTCTTGCAGCTGATTCTCGAATCCTGGTCTCATCAGGAAGGTCCCTTGAGAGGCCCAGCAAGTCCTCCTCCGTGACGAAACCTTGCTGAAGAAAGCGCAGCGCCCGGGATTCCAGTTCTCCCACATGGTCCCCCGATCCAGTCTGGCATCCCTTTACTGGCTCAAATCTGAAGATTTTCCCATGCTCCTCCAGTTCCTCATCCGTCGTGTCCGGCTCTGGCTCCGCCTCTTTCTCCCCCACGGCAGCAGTGGAGCCAAAGTCGGCCAGGATGGAAGTCGCGACCCATTTGCAGAAGTCTGGGGGCCACTGTTCGGTCCCCGTCGTGCTGAAGGGAGCCGCTGGTCGGCTTCGCATAGCAGTGGCCGTCGGATGCCGAGGCAGCGGTCCAGTGTAGAAGCCAGAATCATCGTAGGTGGGCAATCCTGCCCGCATGGATGCTGCCAGCGGTTGACGGGTTCGAAGCAAGAGTCGCGTCGGCTTTGCGTATTCAGTGCCAAAGTCCGCCTGGTGGAAGGCCGCATGCTGAGCCCGCGGGTGCGAGGACAGCTTACGGAAGCTCGGTCGTTGCCACATGGACGAAGGACGGCGGTCCGCGTCCAGGGCGCCCAGATCCTCTGGCTGTTCAAGCAGCAGAAAGCAGTCAGTCAACCCGAGGGCCGCCTCGGCAGCGGTCATGGCAAAGTCGGCGAGGTTGTTGCCCAGTTTTGCTTTCCGCCGTTCGGCCCAGCGGAGGCCAGGCAGTCCATCCGGATGCGCAAAAGACCTGAGAGGCCGCGGTCCTTTCCTGTTGCGCCAAGGAGCGCGACTGAAGGTCGAGCAAGGGGGGCTAAGAACCACC